TTGGCTGGGTCGTGTGGGCAGAGCCAAAGAAGTCCCCCAATGAGCAGCTCCATGGTCTGAAAGGGCAGGGAAACAGCCCAATGAGCATCACCACAGAGAAGCCAATCAGCTAGATGTTGCTGGGGCCGCTGTGAGCCAATCATCAGCTGGCAGTCTGAAAGAGCCGGGAAACAGCTCAATGAGCATCTCCAATGAGCATCACCACAGAGGAGCCAATCAGCTAGATGATACTGGGGCTGCTGTGAGCCAATCATCAGCTGGCAGTCTGAAAGTTTGCTGGCAGCTGGAAGTTTGCTGGGGCCCCTTCGGCTGTGGCTCTCAACACTCCACTGTTCTCTTTTCAGCCCCTGGCCATCCCCTGGCACCAAGAGATCTGCTTCCTCTGACTCAATAGCTGATGTAAGTGGGTATAATTCCAGGGCACTCCCATGGACTGCCACTGGGTGGAGCTAAGCTCCCACCTTCAGGAAAGCCAGCCTTTCAGGCTTTCTTTCCACGTGCTCTTTGGCCATGGTTAGGTCCCTGCTTCCCCATGCCTGCCCCACTGGACTCTAGTGTACAGTTCTGGGAATTATGGGATTACAGGCTGGATCCTGAAGCCCTAGGAAATGGGCAGTAAAGATAACCCCGCTTCTACCCTGCAGCTGAATGCACTGTGCCATGGGTTCCCATGCCCCTTGGTAGGAAGCCACAGCTGCACATACAACTCTCCCCTCACACAACTTTGCTCACTTAAAATGGCATCTTGCAGGTAACATCTAACACTTTTGGATATAAGGTCATTTCAGGGTTCCTTTCACCACCCCACTTCTCTCTGTTAAGTACCTGTCTCCTCAGTCCCCAAGGAAACCTGAGCACAGGGGCTCTTCCTCACATCCCAGCAGCAGGTATGTGAGGTCATGGTGCAGTTTTTTCCTGCTGGCCATGTGGGCTGTGGCCATGGGGCTCTGTCCTCACTGTGCCCAGAGCTGTGATGCCCGTGCCTGATGGATGTCTTGAGCAGCCTCTGTACCTGGCAGTTTACACCAGTTGCTCCTGGGGACCCCCACCTTGTGCCCTCTGCTCAGGCTCCCCACCCAGGCTACAGATCCCCTGGGCCTTGCTGCATCTCTCCTTGGCCTTCAGTGTTAGTTCCACCACCCACCACCTCTGCTGGGAACCACTGAGTTCCCAGGGGGAAATGGGCCAAGCTGTTTCCAGCGCTAATGTGGGAGCCCTGCCTGTGGGTTTCCCCCCAGTCAGTGTCTTCTTAGAAACTGGTCTTGGCTTCTGCACTCAGAGGGCTTCCCCATCTTGGAGGAGAGATTTCTCTCCTGTTGAATTGTCCTTCCTTGCAACAGTGGGGTTAGAGATTGCAAGTGTGCTCCTTGACACAGGAAGAAAGCTTTGGGGCTTCTTTTACCTCTCTCAGCAAAGCCTGGCTTTCATGACTATTGGCTGGCTAAGGAACCCAAGGAATTCAACTCAAAGCTGTCCCCGTAATCAGGGACCTTGATCTAGGTATGTCCCTTCTCCTTTGGAAGCAGCGAGTGCCCCAGTTCAGAGAGGGAGAAACTAATGCCAATGGAGAATTCATGATCAATGGGAATAGAAATGAATGAAATTGACATTGCAGAAATATTAACTCCATCACCCCTTCTAGTGGAAACCTCCACTTCCCAGTAATGGATTGAGGCTATTTTGGAGGTACCCCCCCACTTCTGAGCAAGTGGAGCCTGAAATTTTCTGGCTACTGGAAGGATAGCCTAGGCTCTGTTAGCATCCCTGACTATCCCCTGGGAGCTGGCCTTCCTCTGGTGCTGATCCTGTTGGCCCTAACTGAATAAGCCTCCAGTGGGTCTCGAAAAGCAGCCTAAAGGTAAGAGTCATGTGTCCTGAGAAACTCTACAGCTTCCTGGGGTCCTCTGACCCGCCACCATTTGTGGCTCAGAAAAGTCATGACGGGCATCACATGACCCATTGGTTGGACTCTGACTTCTGAATCAGACCCATGGGAGGCTTTGGCCCATATCTTGACAACTGAGGTTATGTCCCAGCCTGGTTACAGACTCCAGACTTGTCCTCCAAATATAGTTCTCCAGACAGGTCCCAGGCCACTATGTCCTGAGCAGTCCCTGCTGGAAGTGTCCTTGTCTCCCAGATCTAAAGTTTAGCATAGAAGTCAGAGTTCATACCCGACTCCTTCTGGATGGCTGTCCCAAGCCTGCTAGCCAACATTACTCTTTCTGGGTCTGTTCTGGATCCAAGTATTTTGGCTTAGCCTTAATTATGCAGAATTCCAGTCCCAAATATCTGATTTGCATACAGTCTATCCTGCAGATCAGCAAAAGTGATTAAAGTTAAATTGATGTCAAAACCACTGTGAAATTTCATTTCATACACCAGAATGGCCATGTGACAAGAACGTGGAGAAAGGAGTCCTCAGGCATTGCCTGCCAGAGTGTGAGATGGTGAAGTTGCTTCAGAAAAAAGTTGGATGTTTCCTCAAAGAGTTAAGATAGATACTCCAAAGACATGGCATCTGCATGAGAATTTGTGCATGAGCTCGCACAGCATCATTCACAGTAGCCCAAGGAGGGAATAACACATCCATCCTCAGATGAGAGGATAAAACCAATGTGGTAAATCCATGTGGTGCAATGAATGTTAGCCATTGAAAGGACTGAAGTATTGATACATCTGCAAGAGATGAATGCTGAAGAGACTATAGCAAGTGTAGAAAATAAACACACATCATGTGAATGACATGCTTCTGTTTATATGAAATGTCCAGAATACATGATCTGTGGAAAAATTAGATAAATAGAGCTTGGAGTAACCAAAGCTGAAAATTTGGGGGTAACAAGAAAGTGACTGATACAGGGTTTCTTTTAGGGATGATGAAAATGTGCTAAAATTGATTGTGATAATAGTTACACAACTGACTATACAAAAAAATCACTGAATCATATGCTTTAAATGGGTGAATTGTTTGGTGTACAACATGTGGCGCACATATGTTGTGTGTGTGTGTGTGTATATATATATATATATATATATATATATATATATATATATATGCACACACAGCTTACCTGATGGAAAGTTGCCTTTAAAATTTTAATTGTCACATTCTTCTCATTTATCCTTTTTCGGCTTCCTAAATAATTGCTTTTCAGAAGACAGAGTGGCTGTCTAGACAGATGGTGAGCACAACGCAGGACAGTCACCTCTTTGGTGTCTATTCTTAGAACTGGCGCTCGGACCTGCAGTGGAGTGTGGCAAACGGCTGAGCAACTTCACCCGCAATCCTGTGCATATCCTGAAAGGGGGATACCAGCGCTTCTCAGGCCTGTACCACTTCTTTCGGACCCAGAAGATCATCTGGATGCCCCAGGTGAGGCAGAGGGCTGAACAGAGGCTAGCTTGGCCAGGAAGCATGGCTGAGGACTAAGGGGTGGAAGGCAGGGGAGGAGGAAGAAGAACAGGGGATGGGAGGAGATGGAGGAGAACAGGCTGGGGAAATGAACTGGTGGCATCCAGGTCATGATCGTGACTTCATCGCTGTCCAGGAAAGGCAGAGGCCATTGGTGACAGCATGGAGTTCATCCTCTGTGTCTGGCAGCTGGTGAATGGGCTCGTTCTCACTCTAATCCAGTCTGATTCTGAGTGCTGCTCATGGCCTCTGTTGCTGGGTTTCTTGGGGCCTCACACAGCCTTACCCTTGCCTCTTTTGTTGCTGAGGATCTCCCAGTGAGCCAGCTGTGACCCTTTTACCCTCTGCCAGGGTTCCCTCTCAAATTCTCTTCCATCACTGAGCAGCCCTGATCCCCACCATGCCCATCTTCTTCCTCTAAATCCTGGCCTGATCCACAGGGGAGTGTGCTGGTGGTGAAAGGGGCACTGAAGACCTTCCACAACCCTCCCTGCCCTGCCGCTCTGCTGCTCAGTGGGCTTGTGTGACAAGGCAGGACAGCAGGCTATGGTCAGACCTGTTTCCAAACCCAGGGTGTGTACACAAGCTTTCCCGATGTCCTCTCTCCTCCTTTAAGGTAACGGCACCTAGGATTTGGGCTCAGCAAGTTCCCACCAAGTGCGGCTCCCTGTTTCTGGGGGCCTCCCTCTGCTGGCTTTTCAGGGTATGGAGAGATTGGTGTCTTCTCTGAGCTTCTGCTGCTAATAACTTGCCCCACACACCTTACTGACAGCTCTAGTGAGGTGTAGCTGACATGCAAAGAATGGCACTTTAAAATGAAGTATGGTTGGTTTTAATACGTGTGTGCAGTGACTTTCCTAGATTTGGAGGGGAGGGGCTTATGGAAGCTAGGGCTGGGTTAGCAAGTGGTAACCCTGCTTAGTTGTGGCTCTTTAGAATAGGGTTGCCTAGCATTTGCCTCTCCCTGTCATAGGACCTTTGCCACCAATTTAGGAACAAAGGTGAAGGTTCTACTTGCTACATGTTCTTTACCATAAGTGGGGGTGTCCCCATGCTCCCTTAGGAGCTGCTTCTCTGAGGGAAGGTGGTGGCCAAGTATTAGGGCTCTGAGATTGCCTTCCGCTTTAGATGGAGCAGCTTATAGTGACTGCCCTGTGCTGGTAGGTGACCTTCCTTCAGTAAGAGCTCCCTCTGAGCAGAGGTGCTCAGGGACTGACAGATTTCAACAGTCCATTGCGAGAGGCAGATGAGGGCCAGCCACTGAGCAGTGCCAACAGAAGGTTGGCATAGTCACATTATACTTTGGGAAGCTCACTGGGAAGCAGATCAGTGGGCCAGAGTAGATTTGGGGAGCCCTGATGAGAGGCAGGGAAGAAAGACAGTCTGAGGACATTTAGGAGGCAGCATTGCTCAACTAGAGAATATGAGGGAGTCTGGAGACAGGAGGAAGGCCCTGGTGTTACTGTGGGTGACAGGTGGGCCATGGTGTGCTTCATAGCAGTGGGGAGCCCCTGGGGGACAATTTGTGGGGCAGACAGCAGGCTCCATTCAGACTGCTCAATGGAGATATCTTTTCTGTTTTATTACCTGGTATTAATGTGCATGCTTTGAGAAGATGAAATGTTTCTATCTGTGCCACACCCTCTTCCCAGCTCAACTCAGGTAACCACAGAAAGGGAGGCTGGTTTGCAGGAAGCAAGAGAGTTATGAGGCATGTGGTGGGTACTGAGGCAGGTTGTTCTCTAGTGGGATTATAGGAATGTCACAGGGCTCCAGTGAGCCAGGTACCCTGGGAGAAGTCAGCAGGGCTCTGGGGCGTGGCTTGTAGTGGCTTCACCTGGGGTAGGAGGGACATGACATGCTGTGTTCCCAGGGCTCTGAGGGACTGGTGCTGAAAGGGAGGTAGCCTGAGGGTTTTTTTTTTTTTTTTTTTTTTTGAGAAAAAGGAAAAAGAAGGTTTATTGCTTTGCTAGCAAAGGAAAAACACAGGGGACTGCTGTCCCAAAGGCTGTGATTTTGCCCATCAGTAGGAACAGGGGGCTTTTAAAGAGGTGTTTCAGAGAAAATGAGTTTAGGGAGGAGAGATCAGGGAGAAGATCAGGAAGGAGAAAGTTAGGGAAAATAAGAACAGGAAGGGGTTGGGCTTGTGGCTCAGTGGCAGAGCACTTGCCTCCCACATGTGATGCACTGGCTTCAATCCTCAGCAGCACATAAAAATAAATAAACAAAATAAAGACATTGTGTCCATGTATAACTAAAAACAAAAAACAAAAAAGAAGATCAGGGAGGAGAAGGTCAGGAAGGAGAAGGTAAGGGAAAAGAAAAAAATATATAAATTTCAAAGCCACAGGGATATGGTCACAGTATCAAGTGAACTCTTGTTACATTTCCCAACTGTCAATTTCTAGCTTCCATTTCTATGGAAAGCAGGTGACAACATCTCCAAGCTATTTACTGCTGAACAGGGGCAAAGTTGGGGGAAGTAACCCAAAGTCCTTATTCTCTGTCAGGTGTGGGGGGTGGACAGTTAGGGCATTCAGCATCAGAACAGTCCAGAGTTCCACAGTGGTAGTTGGCAGGTGACTGGACAAGGTATACATAAGGCAGGGATCTTGCCAAGACAACAATAAAAAGCAAAGCATTCATTACATTTTTGTAAATAATTAGAACAAAAGCAATTAGTATTTCATCCAGTCTCTGAAAATCATGAGGACTGTAATTCATAAACTATCAGTGAAAAATGGATCAGTTCATCAACAGACGTTAGGAATATTTGTAGGTTTTTGAAATCAGACTCAAATTAACTCAGGACAAATTTGGGACTCTTACGATCATTACTATTATTCACTCTCACACAAGAATCCTTCCTTTATAGCCTCCAGCTGTACTTACTTTTGGAAGGGTTGACACAAATATACATCTTATGTTACATTTTTTAAAATATATATTTATTTTTTCATTTTTTAGTTGTGGATGGATAATGCCTTTATTTATCTTTATGTGGTGCTGAGGCTTGAAACCAGTGCCTCACACATGCAAGACAAGTGCTCTACCACTGAGCCACAAGCCCAGCCCTTATGTTACATTTTTAAAACCATTGTTTTTACATTTAAGTATCCAGGTAGGACTGTGCTTTTAGGCTATACTCTCCTGCTAGGTGTTTAAGACCAAGTTGGCCAAAACTGACCCTGTTCCTATCTACTCTTAAGAGCCAGCTGAGATTCCTCAGGGATCACTCCTGGGGACATGTGTGAAGGCTCTTGACTCCGTTAGCTTTCCTCTACCAGTGGTGCCACTTGCCAGGATGGTTTGGGGTCTGTCTGACCATATATGGCTTATCTTGGAAGCATCAGGGACATTTCTACCTCCAATGACCCTCTTCTTTGCTGAATGTGCACTGGTTGGCTTCCCGTTCTATAGGGTCCTCTCTGTCTCCAGGTCACCGGAGTTACATGGACCAAAGAGGGGTCATATCATTCTCCAGGTCCTGGCTGACCTTAGAGGGCAAGGTCCAAAATATTGGCTACTTTTTCCTTGGCCCTCTTACTTCCTTGCCTTTGGTCTCCAAGGTTTTGGTTTTAAATATCCAGCAAGCCAGTTTCATCAGACTTAAAGAGGGAGTAACAGGTCATAACTTCAATATCTATAATTTTACAGGTACCCCTTTTATTTAACTTGGGTCAGTATTAGTACTGGAAGTCAGCATTATATAGTATCTGTCCTACGTAGCCCGAGGTATTTAAGTCGTTACTTCTGATTCTGATTTGGTACCAAAAGACTATGGAAGAGATTTTGACCACCAATCACACAGGTCAAGGTCTCCCTTGGAGCTATGACGGGGAAGTGGCGCAAGTCAGAGCATGCGGGGAGCTTGGTGGCAGGGAGGGCAGGTTTCTTTGTGTAGGGCCTCTTCTAGTTGGCCATTGCTGGTGGACACCAAGTTTCCTAGAGAGGACCAGCAAGCGCAGCTGTGGGCACACTCTGCTGAGGGCCATTACCAAGTAGGAATGACGCATCGAAATCCTTGCCAGCGTACCCCATGTTAAATGGACTTGCCTTGGAAATTTGCTGCGACCTTGCTTGTGTGTTTGAGAAAGGTGACCCTGCTCAATCACCAGGGTGGATCCAGGATTAGGATGTATCTTGCAGGAAGTATCCCTGTCCTTGGGTTTAGGGCGTGACAATAGGAGTTTTAGGGAAGTTGGAGGTTGAAGATTATTCCTGCTGGGAGTAGGGCGTGCCTGCTGCCTGAGTTCCCGCTGAGTTCTCCTGGAGAGAAAGTATTTAGGACTTGAATTGTGGGGGAGATTGGGATTGTCCCTGGACCTGTGTGGAGGCGGTGTGAGAGCGGGAATAAAGAATTGCTGTTTGAACCTACAAAGGTGTGTGGTGGCTCGTGATTCTGGTGCCAAGCCGAGACCTTGGCAACCCTCCGTCCTTTGTACCCTTCCTTCATGATGCATTGTGAGGGGACAGTGCTTCTTAGAACTCTCTTTGGGAAACATAGAAATAATCCTCTGTTTCTTAGTGATTCAAAGAAACCAAATTATTTTTTAAATTGTGTGTTTCTAATTGATACATAAAATTAAAAAAATCATACTAGGTGATATTTTGATATACAATGTATGCATTATATAATATTTAATTCAAATAAAACATATTTCTCCTTGAATATTTTTCATTTCTTGTGGCAAAAAAACATCCAACTCCTCCTAGGTTTTTGAAATATACAGCACGTTATAGTTAGGTGGTCAACCACTGTACAGAGGCACCCTAGGACCCTTTGCTCCTTTTCAGCTGTAACTAGTGCACATGGATCAGTTTTGCCCACCTGCCCATCCCCCTCCCCCACACCCCCAACCCCACCAACCCCATAACTGCCATTTCACTCTGCACCTCTGAGATCAGCTTCTTCAGAGTCCACCTGGGATTGAGACCATGTGGACCTCACTGTTCTGTGCCTGGCTTATTTCACTTAACATAATGTCCTCAGTTCTATTTATGTTGCTGCAGTTAAATTTTCTGTCACATTTATGGACCCTGAATTTAAGTGGTTGTCTTTTCCTCTCTGCCCAACTGACCATTCGCCTCCTTTATCAGAACACATTTTCTAATGGCAGATAGGCACAATGTGGAGAGTTTTATTGAGTGTGTCTTTAAGGTGTTTAAATTCTGATGTCCCCCATTGTAATAAAAGTTCTGTTCCTCCCCACCCCACCCCTAATTGGACACATTCTGGGTTGTGGAAGTTCTGTACCACAAGGTCCTCAACTCCAGCCTTTGTGCATGTGACCAGGTGCAAATGGTTGCCAGGGAGGGCAATGGAGTGGTGCTGAGAGCTAGTATGGCATCGTGATGCTGTAGCCAGTCCTGATGGGACAGCCCTCTCTCTCCTCATGTGAGCTGCTATTTGCCAGTCTTTATGAAAGTCCAGATCTCCATATCATCCACTGTCTGCTGAAGAGATTTCAAGAGATGAAAAGCTCCCTTCCAGAGAGCCCATGCTCACGGCAGCCCTTCTCTTTCCCCATTCCAGGAACTAGATGCATTTCAGCCATATCCTGTTGAAATAATTCCTGGAAAGATCTTTCTGGGAAATTTCAGTCAAGCCTGTGACCCTCAAGTGCAGAAGGATTTGAAAATCAAAGCACATATCAATGTCTCCATGGAGATGGGACCCTTGTAAGTAAATGAGACACTTTTTTAAAGGGTATCATTTATTTATACACATTTCCTAGTGTCATGCATTTGTAGAGTTGAAAGGGCTCTTAGCCAACACAAACTGGAGCAGAATTAGCATGGCCTTCGCCTGTGCCTCGCGTGGCTTTGGCATCCTTTGCCCCCTGACTCTTCACACTCGTCCTGTGAACCTCACCATGAGTGGTGCTTTCCAGGTCTTTAACATGGTGTTATGAAGCATCTTGCTCTACTCTGCTTGGCCTGTCTCGGGAACCTGTGAGAAATGCCTCTGTGCTTTGGCATTGCCTTGGTACCAGGACACACATGCCCATGCAGGCTTATCCTTGTTCACTGTGCAGGAAAGCCCTCACTAGCCCTGCTGGCCAGCCTCTTTTCTGACTGTATCTGGTCCTGGTCACCAAGACCTAGAATTCTCTGCTTTCAGCTCCTGATCAAAATGGAAATAATACAAGAATTCAGCAAGGCATCTGATAACAAAAATGTCATATAAAGGGGCTAGGGTTGTGGCTCAGAGATAGAACGCTTGCCTAACATGCGTGAGGCACTGGGTTCGATCCTCAGCTCCACATAAATATAAAATAAAGATATTGTGTCCACCTATAACTAAAAACTAAATATTTAAAAATGTCATATAAAACCAATCAATAAATTCAACTTATGAATGTAGAAACATCAATGAAAGATGAAAGATCCATCTTTACAATAAAAACTAAAAGTTATGGGGCTGGGGATGTGGCTCAAGTGGTAGTGCGCTCACCTGGCATGTGTGTGGCCCAGGTTCAATCCTCAGCACCACATACAAACATCTGCCAAAAACTAAAAAAAAAAATATTAAAAAATTCTCTCTCTCTCTCTCTCTCTCTCTCTCTCTCTGAAAAAAACCCTAAAAGTTATAAGATTCGTAGGAATAAATTTAAGAAATATGCAGAGCCTATGTAAATAAGACAATTTTTTTTTTGTGACACTGAGGGTTGAGCCCAGGGGCACTTGACTACTGAGCCACATCCCCAGCCCTATTTATAAATACATAAAAGGCATTGTGTTGTGTCCATCTACACCTAAAAAATAAGTATTTTTTTAAAAAAGAATATTTTTTCTCTAGAATCTAGAATCTAGATTAATTGACCACTTTCTCATAATGAAATGACTCCCCTCATTTCTGGTAGTGTACTTTGCTGTGAAGTCTCACTTTTCTTTTCTTTTCTTTTTTTTTTTTAAATAATAAACTCTTTTTATTTATTTATTTATTTATTTTTGAGAGAGAGAGAAAGAGATATTTATTTTCTAGTTCTTGGTGGACACAACATCTTTGTTGGTATGTGGTGCTGGGGATCGAACCCGGGCCGCACGCATGCCAGGCGAGCGCGCTACCGCTTGAGCCACATCCCCAGCCCATGACTTTTCTGATAATAATATAGCAACTAGAGATTTTTAAAATTTGTCTCAGTCTAGAATATCTTGTTACATCCTTTTACTTTATATTTGAAGTACATTTTTTTAGGCAATCTATAATCTCTGCCTTTTGACTGAAATCTTTAGACTAAATGTGATTGTTGATATGAGTTTAAATCTATCATTTGATATTTGTTTTCTATTGATCTCGTCTCTTCTTTATTCCCATTTTTCTCTTTTTCTGTCTTCTTCTGGGTTATTATGATTCTATTTTTCCTTTATTATTTCATTCATTATATTTTTTATTTTTTGCAGTTGCTTTAGAGTTTATAGAACACATCGTTAACTGATTATTGAGGAGATTTTTAAACAAGAGGGAAAGTATCTTATATTTATCTACATAATTATCACTTCTGGTGGTCTTTGTTCTTTTTATAGAGATTCAGATTTCCATCTGGTATCATTTTCTTTCTGCCCAAAAGATTTCTTTTAACTTTTTTGTAGTGCACGTTTGTTGATGATGAATTCATTCAGCTTTTGTATGCCTGAGAAAACTGTCCTGTGTTGTTAGTTAGCCATTGTTCAAAAAACCCTGTTCTATATGTTTTATTTCAGTTATTTAAGGTGGGGGGGTAAATTTGGTCCTTGTTACTTCATCTGGACAGAAATGGAAAGGAGTCTCATTTATATTATAGATATCCAACTTTGAGTTGGCATTATAAAGATCTTAGCCAAAAAGCAAATTAGGAAATAACTTGCTTTTTGGCTCAGATCTTTTTGAATTTTTAGATGAATTCATAGGCAGTTGACATCACTCATGACATTAGGTTTGTTATCGAACAGTCTTTCCCATCATTGATGCCCTCTTTTTTCTAAATCCTTTAGTTTCCTTAGCCAGGCATGGTGATGCGTACCTGTGATCCTTGCAACAGCAGAGGCTGGGGATGTAGCTCAGTGGCAGAGTCCTCCTGGGTTCAATACCAAGTTAAAAAACTGAAAGAGATACAACAATCCACAATTATAATCAGAAATCTCAGCATATCAATAATTGCTACAACAAGTAAATGGAAGATAGGTTATAATTTCAAAGACTAGAAGAATGTAATTGTCCAACTTTACTTAATTGACAATTGTAAGATATTCCACACAAAATTAGTAATGTTCTTCTAGTCTTTGAATATCTTTTTTTAAATGCTAGAACCATTTTAATATAATTATACATAGCTGCCAAATCCAGGAAGAAAAGATTTATGCATATATAACTTCCAGTTAACATCTGCATGCATAAACAACAATGATCTCAGTTTAACAACTCATCAGGGTCAGAGCAATTTACCAATGTTTCTTTACTTCTAGGCTTACCAGCAGTAAGATACAGATGAATTAATGTCCTTTTTTTCCTTCAGACATTTTGTTGTAAAGTTTTAGTACAGCTCACCTCCAGCCAAAAGTAATCTTTTTAAATCAGCACTCAATTGCTTTGAATTTTGCTTATAATTATCACCTATTTAATCACTAAGAACTCCTGGAGAAGTGGAGTTCAAGGCTGCATACAATAACAAGAGATCATAGTTTTGAAGTCTAGCACAGATTGAAAACCACAGATGTACCATTTATATAAGACACACACTGTTTGTTGAATATTTTCTTACTGTTGAATATCTTCTCAATAAGAACATGGAATATTTTTTGTCAGGGTACCCTGTTCTGGACCACAAAACAAACATTATTAAACCTAAAAGGATTAAAGTTTTAAAAATTATGTTCTATAACCCTAATGGAATTAAAATAGAAATCAATAACACAGATATTTGGGGAAAATCCCAAACACGTGGAAATGAAATAACACACTTTTAAGCAGCATGTGTATCAAAAGATATTGAGGTGAAAATTAGAAATTATTTTGAACTGAATGAAAATATAAACAACACATGTCAAAAATTATGCATGTTGGGCTGGGGATGTGGCTCAAGCGGTAACCGCTTGCCTGGCATACGTGCGGCCCGGGTTCGATCCTCAGCATCACATACAAACAAAGATGTTGTGTCCGCCGAAAACTAAAAAAAAAAATGAATAAATATTTTTAAAAAATTGTGCATGCAGGGGCTGGGGATATGGCTCAGGCGGTAGCGCGCTCGCCTGGCATGCGTGCAGCCCGGGTTCGATCCTCAGCACCACATACCAACAAAGATGTTGTGTCCACCGAGAACTAAAAAATAAATATTAAAAATTCTCTCTCTCTCTCTCCCCTCTCTCACTCTCTCTTAAAAAAAAAATTGTGCATGCAGCCAAAGCAATGCTAGAGGAGAATTTACAGCCTAAATGCCTATGTTAGAAAAGAAGAACCTCAAATCAAGGAACTTCCACTTTAAAATTTTTAAAAAGTAAGCAGGGGGAATGAAATAATAAGGAATAGAAACAAATGAAAAAGAAAACAAAACAAATAGGAAAATCAATGAAGCCAAAAGTTGTTTCTCAAAAAAAAAAAAAAAAGTTCTCTGAAAAATCAATAGAATTGGTATATCCTATCAAACTGATTGGAGTAGACAGAAGACGAAAATAATATTATTGAGTTAAGAGAGACCATCATGATAGATCCTACCAATATCAAAAAGTATTCTTAGGCACTTATCCCAGAGAAAGGAAAACTTACATTTATACCAAAAGCTGTGCATCTATATTCACAACAATTGTCCAGCTAAGTAGTTTGAAAAGCTGTGGTGTGTACGTACCATGGAAGACTCCTGCTGATACATGCCACAACTTGGATCTCCTGCTTAGATCTCTATGGAACTGATGCTGAACACAAAACAAAACACCAAATCTGAAAAGTTACTTACAATATTCTATTTATATAGCGTTTTTTAATAGAACAAAATTTTAGATATAGAGGATAGATTAGTGGTTGGCAGGACTTGGGAAAGGGCTCTAGCATGTTGGTTATCAGAAAGCAATAAAAGGGATCCTTGGTATTTCTTGACCTATGGGAGATTCAGGAACCTACGTGAGCAATAACTCTATAAATAGAGTGAACTACAGACAGACATACACCTGCATGGATGCAAGTAAAACTGTAGAAAGCTGAATAAGATTGACAGGTTATATCAGCGTAGTATCCTGCTTGTGATATTATATTATAGTCTTGCAAAATGTTACTGCTGGGGACACTAGGTGGAGTGTACAGGGCTCTCTATTATTTCTTAAGACTGCATATGAATCTACAATTATTTCAAAGTTTTTAATTAAAAATATTTAGAAGGACTGGGGTTGTGGCTCAGTGGTAGATTGCTTGCCTAGCATGCATGAAACACTGGGTTAGATCCTCGGCACCATATAAAAATTATAAAGGCATTGTGTCTACCTACAACTAAAAATATATATTAAAAAATTTAGAAAATGAGCAACTTTATGCCAATAAATTTGAAAATATAGAGTAAATGAACAAATTCCTTGAAAGAGTCAAGCTCAGTTAGATAATAGATAATCAGGGCTGGGGATATAGCTCAGTTGGTAGAGTGCTTGCCTCATATGCACAAGGCCCTGGGTTCAATCCCCAGCACCATTAAAAAAAAAAAAGAAAGAAATAGATAATCAGAATATCTCTCTATTAGAGAAATTGAATTCACAGTTAAAAACCTTTGTACAAAGAAAACATGTAGGCCCATATGCCTTTATTGGTGAAATAATAATTTCAAATAAACTCTTTAAGAAAATAAAGATGTGCTGGGTGTGATGGTGTATGCCTGTAATCCCAGCAGCTTGGGAGGCTGAGGCAGGAGGATTGTGAGACTAAAGCCAGCCTCAGTAACTTAGGCAGGCCCTAAGCAACTTAGGGAGACCCTGTCTTTAAAAAAAATATTAAAAAGTGTGGGGGATGGAGCCATATGGTTAAGTCACATGGGTTCAATTCCCAATACCAAAAGGAAAAAAAAAAAGAAAATAAAGATGAGAGAACTCATTTATGAGATTACATCATTATTTGAAACTCAAACCTACAAAGACTTTACAAGAAGGGAAACTACAGACAAATATCCCTATGAATACAGGCACAACAATTCTTAACAAAATTTTAGTAAATTGGATTCTAAAATATCTAAAAATGATAATATCTCATGACGAATTGTGTTTGTTCCAGGAATGCAAGGTTGGTTTAACATTGAAAACCAAAGGTAATGCACCATATTAACAGACTGGAAAAGGAAACATCTTCAAGTGGAGAAAAGTTGCACTCTGTAGTTGCTGAATCCATATATATGTATAAGTGTGTATTTAAATATATATGTATAAAATATAAAAATCAGTAATATGTGGTTCATAAAATAATCAACAGTTTTCAGGAGATTAAAATTATATTAGCTTTCTTTCAACCACTGAGGGATTGAGATAGATGATTAATTTAAAAATGTAATTAGAAAATCCCTAGAAATCTATAAATAACTTTCTAAACAGCCAATGAAGCAAAGAACTCACAATGGAAATTAGGAAATATTTTCAAATACATGATAATGAAAATACTATGTATCAATTTGTGGAGTGTAGCTAAACTGTGCTTAGAGGGAAATGTACAGCTAGGAATGAATACACTTATTACAAAAGGAAAAGGCTAGAAATCAATGAGTTAAGCATTTATTTTAAGAGAGGAACAGGAAATTAGACCCAAATGACAAAGGGATAATAAAAGCAGATTATTGAAATAGCAACAATAAAAGAGGATCAAGAAGGCCAAATTTTATTTTTTTTAATAAAATCAATAAACACTTGGCAAAGAGAGCAAAGGCACAAATAACCAGATAGCAAGAGAGAGCCCATGTCCTGTACCTACTCTAAAAGATCCTAAGAGGTGTTATGGAAACTTTATTATGGTAAACATAGATGAACAAATTTTAGAAACTCCCCGTCAAAACTGACATCAAACAAAATTTGAGTAGTGTAAAGAACTAGTGAACATTTCCACAGAGAGAACTCCATGTTTAAATAGTTTCAGTGATTTAATTTTACTTAATATTTAAGGAGGAAATTAGGTCAATATTAAGGGGTTTTTTCCTTTTTAGAGAATAAAAAGAATAACTATCAACTTATTTTATGAAACCAGCATAATTTTAACTTCATAACCTAAGATGCCAAAATGCAGGAAAATTATAGACTAATTTTCCTTGTGAATATAGACGTAAAAATTCTAAATAAAATATTAGCACACTGAATATGGTGAGATATGAAAGGATAATACATGGTGAGGAAGTTGGGTCTGTTCCAATGATATGAAGTTGCTTTAACTTCTGGAGAATTCATAGCTTACCAAATCATTAACATAGAGGAAAAAAACAATTATTTCAATAGATACAGATAAAGCATTTATTAAGATTCACAATACATTCCTTTTTTTAAAAAAAAAAACTTTATTTTTATGTGGTGCTGAGGATCAAACTCAATGCCTCACACATGCTAGGCGAGCATTCTACCTCTGAGCCATAAATCCAGCTCTCACTATATACTTAATTTTTCTTTTCAGTACTGGGAAATGAACCCAGGGGTGCTTTACCTCTGAGGCACATCCCCAGTCCTTTTTAAGTTCTGAGATAGAGTCTTACTAAGTTGCTCAGGGTCTTGCTAAATGGCCAAGTCTGGCCTTGAATTTGTAATCCTCCTGCCTCAGCCTCTGGAGCGGAGCCACTGGGATTATAGACAAGTGCCACCGCACCCAGCTTCACTATGGATTTGTAATTTTTCTTTTCAATATTGGGGATTGAACTCAGGGGCACTTTATCACTGAGCTACATTCCCAGGCCCTTTTAATTTCAATTTTTTAAAAAATTTTGAGAGAGGGTCTTGCTCAGTTGCTTTTAACTGCTGAGACTGGCCTTGAACCTGTGATACTTCAGAATGCTGAGCTTATAGGTGTTTACCACTGTGTCCCACTCATAATTAAAAAAAAAAAATTCTTGGAAAACTAGGAATAGAATGGAACTTTCTTGATCTAATTTTTAAAAAATATACAAAGTCTCTGCAGCAGGCCTGGGGTGCCAGTGTAGCCCAGTAGCAGAGCATTTGCCTAGTGTAGACAAAGCCCTGGATTTGATTCCAGCACTGGAAAAAAAAAAAAAAAGATCTGTAAGTAACCATCACACTGGTGAAATGTTGAAAGTTTTCTCTCAGCTTCTGAACAAGACAAATGATGCCACTATTTCCATTCCTACTTCCTGGCATCCTTCCCCTGTGGACCCGCTGCTGAAGATGAGGGGACACCACAGTGGGCTGTGTGCTGGTGACTTGTGTTCTATGTTTAGTTTTGCAGGTGACCCTGACAACCTTCTCCACATCCAGATAGAAGATACTCCAGACGTCAAGATTATTCCTTTTTTACGTCACCTCTGTCACTTCCTTGGTAAGAGCCTTCCCTAACCAGGGAGCAATTAGCCTGGGAGGCAGAGGGACGACAGTACCTCTTCCATATGCTTATCCCTGATCTCGACTCCTCATGCTGAGGACAGAGGAGGTAGGGGCCAGCACATGCCTGGCCAAATGTGGACAACTCAGGATGAGTCCAGCTTCTCAGGACTCCCGTTAGATGAGTGGGGGTGGTGTTTCCCTTGGAAGCAGTGGGCTCCAGTAGAAGTACCAGGTTGTAGGTTGAGCAGCCCTGGTGAGGCTGCCATAGCCCTTTGAGGCTATTTGAAAGTATGGGTGCTGGCCACCATATGTGATCGTGTCTGTGGAGGACCTAGAAGTGCATCTTCAGACCTGAGGGTGCTTCATCTGCACCCTCAGGTCTGGCCAGCAGGATGTGGATGGAGGGAGGAACACTAGGAACCTCCCAGCCCTGATTGCTGAGTCGCTCCATGTGAGCTCCCTGCCACCTGTTGTCCTCCTGCCACACATAAAGCAACACCCACCAGCTGCTTAAATCATTCAGGGTGGATTGTGTGGTCGTTCCCAGGCATAGGACTGTCTGAGGAAGGCAAGGTCCCTGGAGAGCAAGGCTGGGTCAGGGCAGAGGCCCTCCCTGAAGTGCCTGCTGGCACCACACAGCCCCCAGCCTGAGCAATTGGGGCTGACAATGGAGCCCAAGTGCCCATTATTAGCCCAGCACATTGCCACTTTCACTCAGCTAGGATCTGAGACTGAGACTTCCCGTGTATCCCACCATGAGGTGGCAGAGTCTGCAGCACAGAGAGACCCACCTTGCTGGGTGGCTCTGGGCCAGCCTGTCACTGATGCATGGCTCAGTCTCGTGTGTGTGAATAGGCAGTCAGCCTTCATCATCCCAAAGTTCTCCTGCTCTGACAGCCTGGTTTTGCACGTGGTGTGCTCATCTTTAGTTCTTGGGGTTCCCAGGCCAGCCTTCAATGACAGTTTAAACTCCCCCACTCCCTGGGCAGGGCTCCCAGCTTTGGGGTTATGTGACTGTAGCTGGCTTTTCTATGCCAGGCAATGGGTCTCAGCCTCCCAGGTGGCTAGGATTGCTGGTGTGTGCCGCCACATTTAGTGCTCAGCATAGGGCAGAATAAAACCCCATTTTCCAGATAAGGAAACTGTGGCTCAGAGTAACTTGCCCAAGCCCCACAGAACAGTGAGTGACAGAGCCAGGATTCACACCCCCTGCATTGCCTCAGCTGGCACCTGAGTGTCCTTGGGGCATGGTCCTATCAGCATTAGGCCAACTGGCAACAGCTTACTGGGCTAGAAACCTGGAGAGCCAGGAAAAGGTTTCACCTGGCACTGCCAGTTAGCTCTTGAATGGCCAGCTAGGTCTGAGGGCCCCCCCCCATTTGCTAGACAAGCTGTGTTGAGGAAGTCGTGAGACTTGCCCAGGCTTGATATACTGTTCCATACTCATGCTTGAACTACGGGCACAGCGAGGCCAGTCTCTGACAGCCACCCAGGTTCCAGGTCCATGGGGAAGAGGGCTCTGCACAAGCCCACCTCTTCCTTCCTTCCTTCTACAGAAATTCACCTGGAGCTTGGCTCTGTCGTTCTGGTCTTTTCTACCCGGGGCATCAGTCGCAGTTGTGCCGTTATTGTGGCCTTCCTCATGCACTGGAGAGAGGAGTCCTTGCAGGTATGTGTTCCTTGAGGCGGGCTTGGGCCACAACCACCCTAGGTGTAGAGTCAGGGCCAAACCTGGGAGAAATAGGGCCTGGCACTGTTGTGAGGCCCCAATTGTGGGATGGGGAGGGGGAGAATTAGGAGGGGAACTCCAAATCAGGGTGTTTCCCAGCAGGTGGCACCCAAGGATGGGTCCCCACGCTGCAGGCCAAAGCCTGTATACAGCACTAATAGGACACAGGCCAGGCTGAGAGGCAGCACCAGCTCTGTGGCTCCCCTCCTGCCCGTCTGTCCCTGAGGTTGGTTTGGATTTGTTCAAAGAAAAATGAGTGGAGTCACAGAATTGCAGCACTGGCCAGGCCTCAGTGGGCACCCAAGTCAATCTTCCTCACCGGGGTGGGAAGGAAGGAGGGCACTGTTAAGGCAGACCCACAGAGATTTGGGCATCTGACTCCCAGGTAGGGCTCGCTTGGGGGCCTGCCCTGGGGAGGGGATCCTTGCCTGTCCTTGGTCTCAGAGGGTTTGGGTGGGAGCTGAAAACTCCCCATGTGTGTTTGGGGGAAGGGCAGGGGTAAAGAATAACCATGGTTTTGAGTATTGACCCAGCGTGCTCTTCAGGAAGTTGCAGCCTAGAATGCCTTGGCTATCCGGTAAGTCTACTTCAAGGCATGTACGTCAGAGAGCAGAAGACAGGGACTCATATATGTGCACACCCACGTTCACAGCAGGACTGTTCACAATAGCTGAAAGGTGGAAATGACACAAATGTCTGTGGACAAATAAAAGGAAACACAAAATGTGACATCTCTATATAGGAAAGAGTCAGCCTCGCAAAGGAAGAGAATTCTGCTGCGAGCCACAGTATGGGTGGGCCTGGAGGACACTGCTCCATAAGGCAGGCCGGTCATTAAAGGACTAGTACTTAGGATTCCCCCTGGTGTGCGGTACCTAGAGTATCAAAATCAGACAGGTGAATAGCAGTTGACACGGATGTACCCAGGGAACAAGTGGGATGGGGAGTTGATGTTTAGTGGGGTCAGAGGATCAGTTTGGGAAAATGAAGATGTTCTAGAGATGGAGCGGGTGACAGTTACACAGTAATATGAACATACTCAGCACCATGGAATTGTATAGCCCTAAAGGTGGTTAAAATGGTGAACTTTAAGTTCTGTATAATTTACCACAATTGAAAGGTGTCTTTTTAAAATAGTATTTTTAGTTGAAAAAAGACACAGTACATTTTAGTTGAAAAAAGACACAGTACCTTTATTTTATTCATTTTTATGTGGTACTGAGGATTGAACCCAGTGTTGAGCACTTGCCTAGCATGTATGGGACACTGGGTTCTTTGTACAAGTTTTTTTTTTTTTTTTTAATTTGGGGAATTTTAAGATTTTTCTATTTCTACAAAATATGCCATTGGGATTTAATAAGGATTCTTATATCTGTGGGTTATTTAGGCAGTATGGACATCTGGACCATAGTAAGTTTTCTATAACATTGGATATGTTGCCATTTAATTGTATCATCTTCAATTTCCTTCTACAATGCTTTTTGTAGTTTTTGGTATGTCTCTCACCTCTTTGGTTAAATGTTTTAGTCTTTTTGATGCTATTGTAAATGGAATTGTTAATTTTTTTTTGAATTGTTCATTGTTGGTTTGTAGAAATTTAACAAACTGATGTGCTAATTTTGTTATCCTGCAACTTCGCTGGATGCATTTGCTCTGGATGTGTAAGATTTTAGAAATTTCTACATGAGATTAATGTCATCTTCACAAGGAGTGCCGCAGTCTGGCTGGGCACAAATAACCGAGATGCCACGAAGCACTTGTAGGTTCAAAACAGCAACTCTTTATTGCCGAACTCTACCAGCACTCCACACACACTCCCCGGGAACACTCTCACCCTCCACCAGGGTCAGTGTGCACTCTCCCTCGGAACCCCAAGAGAACTCCATGGGAACTCCAAAGTGCAGCAAGAGCCTCCCTATTGCCTGGACAGTAAAGGTCAAATATACAATTGAATACACAGCTTAATATAACCATCATTATCTCAATGGCTCCCTGCTGTTACCTCTCAACCACTCCCTTCTGGCAATATGCCATTCGTCATCCTGACTCAGCTGTGGCCCTCAACAATGGAGATAATCTTTTTTCTTTCCAATTTGGGTGTCTTTTCTTTCTTGCCTAATTGCTCTGACAGCTCCTTGCAGTTCTAACAGAAGGGGTGAAAGTGGCCCCCCCCCCCTTGTTCCTCTAAGTGATCCTCTCGGGAGAACCTCTCCATCTTTCTCCATTGAGTGCGATGTTAGCAAGGGCGATTTTCATAAATGGTCTTTATTAGGTTTAAGCAGTCTTCTTCTTAGTTTCACCATTTCCCCCTTTGCTTTTCCCCTGTCCTCAATCCGGATGGATACCAGCTCCACGCCTTCTTTCTAACCCTGAAAGAAGGCAACTTTAATCTTCCTTCTTCAGAGAATTTGACCCCATCCTCCTCCCCTTTCCAGGAACCCATCCAGTGACAATGCAAACCTTTGTTGAGCCTCTCTGCACCAGCCTTGGGTGTGTTGTGTTCACCCCACTTGGTGGAAGGTTCCCATGTGTTGTCCCAGCATTCACAGCAGCTATCTGAAAAAGGAATGATTTGTCCCTCTATTCAGAAGTGCCAAGAGGCTTGCCCAAGGTGCGGCCAGCTCCCTCCACTGCTTGCCCTACGGAGCCATCACAGGCTGCTGCGGTATCTAGCTCTTAAACCATGTTGTGTGCCCCTGGGCAAGTGCTTCCTATCTTTCCCGAGCTGGATTTGACCCAGGGCCCATGACCAGTCCTGACATCTCCTTTCTCTCTGTTCACAGAGGTCCTGGGCCTATGTCAAGAAGTGCAAAAATAACATGCGTCCAAATTGGGGATTGGTGACTCAGCTGTCGGAGTGGGAAAAGATTGTCCTTGGAGACACTGTTACAGACATCTTCAATCCACCATACTAATCTCTGAGGCCCAGAGATGGGCGCTGAAGAACCTTCCTTGGGACCTTTGTGGGCAGAGGGCAAGCATGTGTACCCAGGTTGGTGTGGAAAGAAAAGGCCTGTGCTGCCTGCAGCCTCACTCGGACTCGTGCACCGGTTCTCCTGTTCACTCACTGTGGAGGCGCATCTGCTCAGCTTAGCCCATATCCCTGGGTGCCTTGGAACACCCCATGCCCTCCTAGAGTTTCCTCTGGCCACCTAAAGGGCTGCCATACACACCCTGTGACTTGGATCCTTCAGAGCTTTCCTGGGAGGTGCTCGGTGTTGGTCCATAGGGTGTCACAATAGCCAGCCACTGATGGGGATTTGGGCTGGGGTAGAGCTCAGCAGGTAGAGGGCTTGCCTCCCATGCACAAGGGCCTGGGTTCAACTCCCCAGCAACAACAATAACAAAAAAGAAAATAGATGGGGATTCTCCCATCCCCAGAGATGCCAGGCCTAGCCTTGGCCCTTTGCCTCATGCCCAGGCCCAGTGCTGTGACCCTCCCAACCCCTGTCTATCACTTGGCACTAATGGCCTTTCTCTGTTCCCACCCCCACTCATTGCTGTTCACGGGAAAGACTTGTACCCCCCCAGCCCCTGCACCTAAGTTCCTAGAAATTCCTCAGATCTTAAAAGGAGGTGTTTTCCCCATGCACTTGCTGGAAGCAACCACAGAACGACCTGAGGATTAGGAGAGGGCACGTACAGGGGACCAGGGGACGGGTGGGGCATTCAGGATGCCCATCAATGCAGGGGCTTCCCTAAGTTCATTCAGCAAACATGCCCAAGGCCTCCTAGGACTCTCCAGAGTGGGCTGGAGGTGCCCGGATGTGGGAGGTGCCTTCAAGGAGGAGTGGGCTTTGCCAGAGGGGGAAGAGCTTTTCAGGCAGCACCCTCTGTCATTCTGGGATGGACTAAGCCTGGGATGGCTGTAAAGCTTGCTGTCTGGCAAGGGACCTCCTGCGAGGCAGGGATAGGGTGGGGAATTAGGCTTGTGCTTTAGGAAGGGCAGCTAGTGACTATGTGAAGGGCAGTGGAGGTGAGCCTGGAGGCAGAAAGGAGGTGACAAAAAATCCTAGCAAGAGAAGACTCTGGGAATCCCTTCCACCAAGAGGCGCCGTTTCCCAAAGACGAAAAGTGTTTAAGGTCGGTGTCACCTCTCTAGGTCTTGGTTTGCTCCCAGCACCGCGGGCTGGGGCACTGCAGGAAGCACCACGGCATGCAGTTGGCACGGCAGGTGGAACCCCGGCCAGGGGCCGCAGCCACCTTAGCCACCAAGCTGGCCTAAAGACGCCCTTCCAGTGCGTGGCCCCGCCCCTTATCGTGATTGGCTGTTGTTGGGGGCGGGGCCAGCGCGAGGCCCGCGCCAGGTCTTTCTCCATTGGTGGCGGTGGCGGCGCGAGCCCGGAAGCGGACGGGGGCGGAGGCGGAGGCGGAGGCGCCTTGGGCCGGCCGGGGTTGCGGCGCAGTCCTCAACTCGCTGCTCCTGCGGCCCGCGGAGCGGCAGCCATGCAGCCCCTGCCCTCGGACCCGCTGGGCGACTGCCTGCGGGACTGGGAAGATCTGCAGCAGGACTTCCAGAGCATTCAGGTAGGCTCCACTCCCGCCACCCATTGACTCTGAGCCACGTCTCTCTGGCTGAGGTCAAGGGTCGGGCAGCACTGGGTCAGGCAGGCGGGAGTTTGGGGTCGGGGGTCTGGAGCCTGGCGTTGCTCCCGAGGGTAGCGAGGCCTCGGGTCCCAGTCTCCCCAGATGGCCCCTCCCAAGTGTCCGGTTACAGTCCACTGTGCTTTGGCCGGGACCCCACTGTGCTGGGTGACTTCGACCTCCCGCGAGGGCATGGAAAGAGACGCGACCCCGGATCCGCCCCCGCCCTTTGCATTTGGACCTGGATCCCATCCTCTCCCAGGAGAGCAGCTGCCCGAGTCCGAGCCAGCCGGCCCGTATTCTGGATCTGTCACTCCACAAACATCCCTTTCCCACCCTCAGCATCTCCTGTCAGAGTGCCATGGGGGAGTGGTGTTTAGATGAAGTCCGTGGCCAGGATGGGGGGGCTGTCCCAGGTGGGGCCAGCATCTAATAGGGGAAGGGAGAGCAGGGCTGACAGGCCCTGTGGGCCTGTGTGGCTGCTTGGGAAAGTGAGGGGAGCAGTGGGTGGGACCAGACCCTGCAGGGACCTTCTGGCTCTGGTGGGGATTGGAGTCTGAAGCTATTGGGAAGCTGCAGGAGCAGTTGTCTGGTTGGAGTTTGTATGTGGCCTGCTGTCCTGGGACCCAGGCAGCAGGAGGTTGCTGGCTTTGACCAGGAAGGAGAGGGTGGTGACTGTGCCTGGGCAGAGGTGACACATATCTGGGTCTGAGGGGGGTGTGGTGGCCCAGAGACCGAGTTGGAGACTTGGTTAGACCTTTGCCTCTCCTGGCCTGATTCCTGCCTTTGCCCATCTCTATGGCTGCCCCCAGAGCAGCCCCGCCAGCTGCCACCAGTGTTCTCCCTGGAGTCCTGAGCAGACGTCTCCCAGCCTGGCTGCCTCCGCTGGCCTCAGCCACTTGCTGTCCCCACACTGCCTCTTGCCCAATCTCTAGACTGCGCCTTCTTGAGATTCACCCACCAGGGCAAAGTGCTAAGGGAAGCCCCAGGCCAAAGGTGCTGAGGCAGGGGAGGGGACTGGCCTCAGGGCAGGAGGTGCAAGGCTGAAGCCTGATGACCTTTAACCTGGGAGAAAGCATCCAGAATGCCCTACCAGAAGGCACTGTGGATGCCTGACCACTGTCCCCTCCACCCCTGCCCAACACACACACACTTCCCATCCTTGCAGGTTGGGTAGGCAGGAGGGACTGAGAGGGCCTGAAGCCACCCACTTGGTCCAGAAGGTGGACCTGTGTGACCTTAGAAACCAGACTCAGGACAGAGAGCCTGTGGAGAGGTGGGGACCACAGGAAGATGTCCTGCGACCAGGAAAACCTTGAGGGGCGAGTGCCTTGGGAGAGCACAGGCGGGTTCCTGGTAGAGACAGTGAGCCTATGTGTCCCAGCTAGCCTGCACCTTGTCCCTTATACCCCAGGAGACTCACCGGCTGTACCGCCTGAAGCTGGAGGAGCTGACCAAGCTGCAGAACAACTGCACCAGCTCCATCGCCCGGCAGAAGAAGCGGCTACAGGAACTGGCCCTCGTCCTGAAGAGGTGGGCACCTGCCAGCGGGGCATGGGGGCTGGTGCTGCCCCCTAGAGGACAGCACAGTCTCTCCCCTCTCTGGGCCTCACTGCCCCTTCTGCCCCTCTGGGGTGGGCATGGCGCCTGCTTGCCCCTGCTGACTCTGGCTCCACCTGCAGATGCAAACCCACCCTTCCGTCAGAGGCCGCGGGGGCCGCACAGGAGCTGGAGAACCAGATGAAGGAGCGCCAGGGCCTCTTCTTCGACATGGAGGCCTATTTGCCCAAGAAGAACGGGTGAGCCCAGGCCAGCCCCAGCTGCCGCCACTCCTGGGAGGGAGGGGCTAAGGCCAGATGCCGCCGCCTCTTGGTCATTCAGTCAGCCATAGCCAGAGCAATCAGCACAGTCCCCACACTGTGATGGGCCCTTTGTGGGGGAAGGACCTGGTGTTGGAGTATGGTAAGGGTCACCTAACCGGCCCAGGCAGTCAGAGAAAGCTTCTGTGTCTGGGGGATGCTGAGCTGTCTTCAAGGATGAGAGGTAACAGTGGATGACTGCAGAGGCCAGGAATAAAATGAAGTGGCTAGGGTTTGGGGTCTGGGTGAGAGGGTGGAGTTCAGGGGTGCCAGTGCAAGACTCTGAGCCAAATCTCCCCAGGAGGCTGAAGGCTGAAGTCATGGGGGGAGGTTTCTGGAAGGCAGGGAAGCAGGTTAGTGGGCTGAGGAAGGGAGGGAGGGAAGTGCTTGGAGAGGACCTTGGAGAGCCAGCTGGTGGCAGGGAGGGGTGGGAACTGATCTTGGAGCTGGTGGGAGAGCTGAAGGGGGAGCTGGCATAGCTGTGTGGAAGGAGAGAAGTCACTCGAAAGTATCAACTAGAAGTCAGGAGGGTGTCTGGGAGGCTTTGCCTTGGGCACACCTGTTACTCTCTCGGTCGGAAAGAGCTGGGCACGTCCACGGGCAGGGGCAGGTAGTGACAGAGGAGGCGCCTGGAGAGAGAAGGGTGCATGTGGGCCTTGCTGGTGCAGGATGCAGAGGCACAGAGTCGTGCAGGTGGCCGGCAGTGGCTGGTGGTTTGCAAGAGGCTGGGAGCTGGTTGAGGGAGCAGCCGGGTCTGGAGGCTTTTCTCTGGTGTGATCAGAGTCCCCCCAGTAAGCTCTTTTGCAGCCTTAGGCAAGTCCCTTCATGGGGAGGTCCACAGGGTCTAAGCGGGAGCAGGAGCCCTGTTAGGGCAGCTGCTCTGCTGTCCCGCCTGGAAGCTCCTCAGCAGAGGACAGATGAACCTCTTTGGGAGGTGATGGAAATACAGGGAGGCTGTGGTTCAGGGAAGTGGCTGCACGGTGAAGGAGGGCATGTGGACTCCTGGCCTGGACAAGGACTGACCAGAATGCAGGGCCCTCAGGGAAGGAGGGAGGGGTCCTTGTGGTGTAAAGAAACCAATGGGAATCAGAGCTTTTGGGGGACAGTACAACCAGAGGCTGGAGTTTCTGAGGGAGGCTGTCGTGGGCTGGGAGGACAGGTATGGTCATGGTGAGGGCCTGAGTGGACTCAGAGCTGAGGTTCCTGGGGTCCAGATAGCAAGGAGCTTGTGGCAGTGACAAGAGTTGACTTTATACAGATAGCAGATCCACCACCCAGAACTGAGGAGTGATTGGGGATATGGGGTCTGGGTGGGAGAGCCAGGCTTCTTGAGGCCTCAAGGCTGGGAGGCCGTGGACAGGACGTGGCAGGCTGGGGACATTGGTGTACTCCAGGTCAGGATTCTGGAGCAGGCTGGGCTCCAAGTGGAGGTGGCCTACAGCACCCCAAGGGTAGGACTCTTAATGCAGGGTTATGGAGAAGACAGCTGGGTGGAGGGGACCCAGGGCCAAGGCCTCTCAACCCGTCTCCTTCTCTCTAGGTTGTACCTGAGCCTGGTTCTGGGGAATGTCAACGTGACACTCTTGAGCAAGCAGGCCAAGTATGTGGCTAGTGGGCTGGTCTTGCCTGGGTTCCCTTGCCCTGACTGCCCTTGGCTCAGCCTCGGGATTCCAGGCTTCTCTGGTGCCTGCCTGTGCCCTCCTTGGGTCACAGCAAGGGGGACCCCCATGGGCATGGGGGACCCCCATACGTGTGTGTCCCCAGGTTTGCCTACAAAGACGAGTACGAGAAGTTCAAGCTCTACCTCACCATCATCCTCATCCTCATCTCCTTCACCTGCCGTTTCCTGCTCAACTCCAGGTGGGTGTTCTGCCACCTGGGTGCAACCTCGCACCCTCCTGGGCTCTGACACCAACCCTCCTACCCCGCCTTCCCTCTCCTCCCCAGGGTGACAGATGCGGCCTTCAACTTCCTGCTGGTCTGGTACTACTGCACGCTGACCATCCGTGAGAGCATCCTCATCAACAACGGCTCCCGGTGTGCAGGGGTGGGCCTGGTTCTCAAGGGCTGCCCTGGGGTGGGAGGCAGGGACAGGGACAGGAAAGACAGTGGCTCCCCCCTACAGGATCAAAGGCTGGTGGGTGATTCATCACTACGTGTCCACGTTTCTGTCGGGCGTCATGCTGACGTGGTAAGTGGCCTGGTTCTGGTGGGAGCTGGGACAGGGCCAGAGATGGCACCCTGGGCTCCCTCACTGCCCGCCTTCTGCTTTCCCCTTAGGCCCGATGGTCTCATGTACCAGAAGTTCCGGAACCAGTTCCTGTCTTTCTCCATGTACCAGAGTGAGTGTCTCGGGGCTTCCCGAGCTCAGGAGGTGTGCATGCGCGGGATGGGCAGGAAGACCCCGCCTGCCGCCCAGTTCTGAAGCCCGCTCTCCCCAGGCTTCGTGCAGTTCCTGCAGTATTACTACCAGAGTGGCTGCCTGTACCGCCTGCGGGCCCTGGGCGAGCGGCACACCATGGACCTCACCGTGGGTGAGTCGGCTAGGCCCTGCTCTGCAGCCCTGTGGGGCGGGGGTGGGGGCGGGACAGGAATTTCCCCTTCCTTCTGCTCCTGGCCTGAATGGTGTCCCTGGTTCTTTTGCCCTGGCCCTTCTCCCTGCAGAGGGCTTCCAGTCCTGGATGTGGCGGGGCCTCACCTTCCTGCTGCCTTTTCTTTTCTTCGGTCATGTAAGTGGCACGGGTGTCCCCAGCTGCCCGAGTCATCCCCGCTCTGGCAGCCCTGGGTTTGCTGAGTTCAGCTAGCTTTTCCTCTCAGTTTTGGCAGCTTTTCAATGCGCTCACCTTGTTTAACCTGGCTCGAGACCCACAATGCAAGGAGTGGCAGGTGAGCAGCGTCCGGGGGGGACAGCTGGGAGGGCCCAGCCACGCAGGCTCTCAGCTGACTCTGGCCCCCTGCAGGTGCTCATGTGCGGCCTCCCCTTCCTCCTCCTCTTCCTGGGCAATTTCTTCACCACCCTTCGGGTTGTGCACCAGAAGTTCCACAGCCAGCAGCGCAGGAGCAAGAAGGAGTGAGCAGGGCCTCCACCTGCTGGCCCCAGAGGGGCCTCTGACCCGTGTGTGGCAGAAGGGTGGGAGGCACCCCTGTGCGTGTGTGGTGCCTTCTGCTCTCCTGGGCTTCGTGGGCTCTGTGGGCCCTGAGGACGACCTGGGCCCCAGCTGCGGGAGCTGGGCACCAGGGCCTCAATAAAGGGAGCGAAGCAGAGGCGACCTGACGGATATATTCTCCCATAGGGAGGCTGGGCTCCTGCTGTATCTGGGGTCTCTGTGTAGGCCCAGGGGACACCCCAGGGCTGCTCAAGCAATATCAGGCAAATACAGAAAACAGAACTTTATTCCAAGGGCCAGAAGTTATTTAAAATTATTTACACTCATTCAAAATCATGTGGGGGCCACCAGCTGAGAGAAGGGCCCCTTCTGTACAGCTGCGGAGGGCCTAGGGTGTCACCAAGTGTGGGACCCCGTCCCCCTTGCCATGTGCCCTGGGGTTGGGCTACCTCACAGGCCTGGCCTGGCCCTGTCCGTGGACCTGCCTCCAGTGGCAAGGCCAGGCAGAGACCACCAGGCGGCTGGCAGAGGGAGTGAGGAACATGGTCATGGGGACAGTCTGTGGGTGTGAGGGGCTGGGACCGCCTAGCTCCACACATCTAGGGAGTAACGACCCTTGGTCATCAGCTTTTTGATGTAGTCCACAGCCTGGGCATGCTCCATGGCCCCGAGCTCAGCCACAATGTCACAGAAGGTATTCTGTACGTCCCTGGCCATGTTCCGAGCGTCCCTGGGAGGAAGAAGGTGGCAGTGAAGGCTGGGTAGGCACCACCTGGGAATGGACAGGGCCTCAGCTCCCCTCCCCTACTCACCCACAGACGTAAATGTGGGCGCCCCCGTTGTGGATCAGCTCCCACAGGTGCTCCGCATCCCTCTTCAGCAAGTGCTGCACGTAGACCTGCAGGCAGGTGGGCGGCTTGTGAGGGTCAGGGCGCCCCAGTCACCTCCTCGTTGGGTGGCTGTGCCCTGCCCAGCTCCCACCAAACTGCCCACCCCTCACCTTGTGGGCCTGCTCCCGGGAGAAGGCCACGTTGAGCTGGGTGAGGGTGCCATCCTTGTGGAACTGGGCCAGCTCCTCACGGTACAGGTAGTCTTCATCTGCCCGGCGGCAGCCGTAGTATAGCAATGTCTCCCCCACTTCCTTGCCTAGGCAGAGGCGGCCAGGGTGAGGAGGCTCCCTGCAACTCCTTGTTCCACCCCATCCCATCCGTCTGCTTACCCTGCTGCCGCAGCCAGGCCCGCTCCTGGATGAAGCCAATGAAGGGGGCAACCCCAGTGCCAGGGCCCACCATGATGACAGGCGTGGTGGGCTTGAAGGGCAGGCGGAACTGGGACTTGCGCACGAACATGGGCACCAGGGCCCGGCGGCCATTCTCCCCAGCAGGCTCTTTGGCCCGAAGCCAGCTGGTGGCCACACCTTTGTTGACACGGCCGGACTTGGTCTCATACTCCACAGCCACGGCACAGATGTGCACAGAATTGGGGTGGACCTGGAGGGAGGACTGGTGTGAGTGGCAGCAACGTGGAGGCCCCATGTCCTGGCACCAAGCCTTGTCCCACCCCTCTGGCCCATGCCCCCTCAGGGTCTCCTTGCCAGCAGCTCTCCTGGCCCTGAGGGTCAGGGCTGGGGAGAGGCAGGCAATCCCAGGCTCTAGCCCACCTCACCTTGGAGGACGAGGCAATGGAATAGTAGCGGGCCTGGAGCCGAGGCAGCAGCTCACACAGGTGGTCGATGGGGGGCCGCAGGGACGGGTAGTCTTGCAGGATGGCCAGGATGTGCCTCCGGGCCTCTACCACCCAGCTCAGGTACAGCTCCTGCCCAAGACCAAGGAACGGTAGGAGTGGGTCGGTGCGGGTAGAAGCTGGGGCCAAGGGGAAGTGGGCTGGGTGGTGCAGCCCTGGGCAGAGGCGGCATGGCGCAGGCTCACCTTGCCCTCGCCTGAGGAGGAGGCCATCTTGCGTAGGTGTTCCTGCTCGGCGGGCTCCGAGGCATACTGTGCCAGCTCATACAGCACGTTGGTGCGTGGAGGGTTGGTGATGTCCAGGTAGTAGGTGAGGGCCGTGCGGTAGGAAGTGGGGCAAGGGAAGGGGTGCTTTTTGTTGGACTCCTCTGTAGAGAAAGGGAAGGCAGAATTTGGGGTGAATGGTCACCCATGGTGGGGGGCGGAAGCTTCAAACCTGCTTTGCAGGAAGCAGGTACCCAGCTGGCAGTCCAAGCAAGGCTGGCCCTCTCCAGGCCTCCTAGGCCCTAAAGCCAAGCCTCAGGCTGGACTGTAAATCCCTGTTGGAGGGGTCTGGCCAGAGGAAGTGATGCCCCAGGGAAAGCAGAGTTCCTGCTTCTGCGAGGTTTGCCAGAAACCAGCCCCTCCTCCTCCTGCTCTGCTGAGGGCTGGTTCTGGATCCAGGGAGCATGGACAGCCTCAGCATGGACCACAGGACAGGACCAAGCAGGGCTACGCCCGAGGTTGGTGTGTGTTCACAGTAAGTCTTGGGCTATACAGCTCCATGGGACCCTGGGGAAACCACCATGGCTAGTGCTTGGCACCCTGAGCTCCACTGAAGGGACCTGGAAAGGTGTCCAGGGGTGCTGATTGCAGCCCCTGCAGTGACCAGTAAGGAGTACAGCCCAGGCTCACCCTGAGGCCAGGGTTCAGCCTTGCAGACTCTGCCCCACCCAACATGGTGGCTGGGTAGTGTTCCTGCTGCCACCAGGCCTGAGACACACCATCCTCTCCCCGGTGACAGTGACGAGCCTAAAGGAGAGAGCCAGGCCCTACAGCACACGGTCTCTCCTCCCTGCAGAATGGGGCAGGGGGTGTGCAGAACCTATAATGGTGGAGGCTTGGGTGAAGGGCCTTAGGCCCCTGGCATGCAGGGCCAAGCAGAAGCCCAGCCCAAGGGCTTGGCCTAGGAGGCCTTGATTCCAGAACTCACCATCAAGGTTGTTCAAGGACATGACAACGTCCAGGTCTGCACCCAGGATCTCCCCAAGCTGGTTGACAAGAGTGCAGTCGTTGGCTGGGTAAACAGCCACATGGTCCCCAGACTCATACCTTAAGGGAGACACGAGGCTCAGGAGGCAGTGGAGGTCACTCTGTGCCTGGGTCAGGAAACCCAGAGTGAAGGGTCAGGAAGGGGTGAAGGCAGCAGAGACCTGATTTTGGAGTCGGAAATGTCCAATTCTAGGTGCATGAGGTGTCGCTCAGTGCCTTGGTTCAGTTTCCGGTTGGTGGTGACAGCAGCCAAGAATGGGTTCTTCGCATCAAAGGGGCTGGGTGGGGAGAAGAGAAGCTCATCGATTGGCTGTGTCTGTGATCTGAATCTTTCTGTCCCCAAAAGACCCTCTGGGCCTCCAAGGGCATGAGGACACCTTGCCAACTGTCAAGGTTTCCCCCATTCCCAGTCAGCGCAGTACTCTTAACCCCGCGAGGTGGTAGAGCTATGCGATCAGGGTCCCCATTTTTGGATATGGAAACTGAGGCTGGCCCCTACAATATCGAGGCCCTTCATGCTTTATCCCCTTGGGCAGACTGAGTGTGGATTCTCCCAGCTCTGGGAGACGGAACCCCAGGCAGAATCCCCCATCCTCAGCCCCCTCACCCCCATGCCTGGACCCTAATACTGGCAGGGAAATCACTGGGATGTGGAGTTTGCTCTGACAGGGCTGCATCCAGCAGAGCCGCTCTTGACTTAGTGGTACCTGGACACCTGGGGGCTCCAGCAGGGATTTGGGCACCACCAGGGGTACTTGAAGTGGCTTATAGGGAAGTGAGCCTTTTTGCCAAAGTCCAACCTGGACATGGCACAGACCTTGCTGCCTTTAAGGACTGTTGGGGACCAGGGTGTCTACATAGTAAGATTTCAAAGCAAATTGAGGACAAAGTGGGTAAGCACCTCTCTCCCAAGGCCTGCCCTGAATGGACAGCACCAGCACGGAGCAGGCCCTGGCTCCTGGACAGCCCATCTCTGCTCTGGGCCTCCTGCCCTCCCACCGCGGATGTAAAAACATGGGTGCCCCCCCCACACCCACCCATCACATGGGTCTAGGGAGAAAGGCCCTACGAGGATACACAGCCACCTGATGCTGGTGTTCCAAGGCCATCAGTCCCACCCACCTCCCTCAACTTACGGCTTCTGGTTCTCATAGCTCTTCAGACGGCCCATCTCACCCACGTACACCTTGGCCATGTCCATGTCCGTGTGGACCACGAGCTCATACTGGCGGATGCTGGAGAGGAGAGCCAGGGGCAGAGTCAGGGGCTGCTGGGCAGGAGCCAGGGGATCCATCCAGATAGGAGGGTCTAGACTGGTATGGGGTGAGTGACCCACACAGGACCGGGTGGGCAAGCAGAGGGGGCTGGCACAGAGCTGCTGAAGTCAAATCCCAGGCCCTGTGAGGGCTGACCCGGCCCTACTCCTGTCACCCTCCAAGGAAGCACAAGCTCCTTTAGCCTGTGACTGACCTGCCAACCTCTCCTTGCTGCGTCCCCAAGGCCCCATCTGAGGCTCCCATGCTCACCTGGACTCCTCGCCAGTGGCTTCGACCCCAAAGAACTCGCACACGGCCGGCCAGAACTGTTCCCGCCACGTGATGAAGTCCTCCTCCAGGCTGGGGAGAGGACAGGATGAGCCAGGGTCCAGACAGAGGCGACCCGCTTGGCCCTGTCTTCCAGTGTGGCCCCACATCTCAAGGACTCATGTCACCTGGCCGCCCAGTGACGTCAACCCCAGGCCCAGCACATCCGTGCCCACCGGGGCTTGTGTCTGAGCTGGGCCAGGAGCAGGGCGTGGGGCACGGCGACAGCGCCCCCAGCAGGGAGGCAAGTCCTGAGTTCCCGCTGACGGGGGCTTGTGCTGCCCCTGGAGGCCCATGGGCTGCTCCTGCCCTGGGCTCCTGGTCCATAGTGCCCAAGGAGGGTGGCCTAGTGTAGACGGGGGCCCTGAGTGCAGGGGGGCCGGGGTGGACACTCACTTCCCGTCGTCATCACCAAGGCCCAGCTCAAAGATGCGCTGGGCTCCAAGCTGCTCCAGTCTCTGGTCAACGTATTTGCCCATGGCGTTGAAGTGCTCATAGGTCTTGTTCCCAAGGCCAAACACCTGTGCAGACAGGAGGCTTTGAGGCCTGGCCCCTGGGGTGGGGGTGGGGCATCCTTGCGGCCCTGACCAAGCCACCAGGCAGGCCCTGTGGGCCTCTGTACCTGCCAGACACCCGGCACCATGAGGAGTACTGGGCAGCCTCTGGCCTGCAGCCCCCGGGGCCCTCTCCACAGCCAGTCTTGAAGGCTCCACTCCAAGTGGCCAGAAAGGGGCAGTGTGCCCTGCCCACCTAGCTGGTGGCCATGGTTTTCCCTGTCCAGCCAAATCCTGATTATTTTGTTACACTTTCCTGGTCTTTAGTGTCCAGGAACTAATGTCCCCTTGGGCTGGCTGGGAGATGGGAGGAGAAGCTCTCCAGGTGCAGAGGGTCCGTTCCTGGGCAGCCTGCTCCGTTGGTCTCTTCTGGGAGCTAGAACGGGGAGGGGTGGAGACTTCCTTGTCTATGCTGACATGGGTCCAGGGCTCTGTGGACTCACCGCGTACTTGACACCAGAGAGGTCCACATCTGCCTCCTGCAGCCAGTCATAGAAGTCCTGGGCATTGTCAGTGGGGTCCCCCTCGCCATAGGTGGCCATGCAGAAAACCACCAGGGAATTGTGGATCTCCGGCAGACTGCTCAGGTCGGCCTGCAGAGACAGGGCCACCACGCTGTGACCAGCCTGCTCAGGTCAGGCCCAGGCCTTTGGTGAGGGGGCAGCAGCGGCTCCCAGCCAAGACGTGGGGACTATGGGATGGGGGAGGTACAGCCAGGGCCACTGCGTGTAAGCAGGACAGTGATGGCAACCTAGTGGGAGAAGGTGCAGTTCTAAAAAGGGGACAGCAGGCATGAGGGGTGAGTGGCAGGGGACAGGCTGGCATGAGGGGACAGCAGGCATGAGGGGACAGTGGCAGGGGACAGGCTGGCTGCTGGCCCCTCGAGGGCTCCCAGAACCCAGTTCCCTGTGCACTAGGCACCAGATTCCCCAGGGAGAGCCCACCACCCCCAAGGCCCAGGACGGAGCCTGGAGGGGTCTTGCTGGAATCTGATCAACATGAAAGGGGGCCTGGAGCCAGGTGTCACCAAGACCCCAAAGGCAGGGGAGTGGATGGCAACGGTGCAGGCACATCCCCTCAGTAATCATGGCCACAACTCTGTGTGTGACAGCAGTGAGGCAACCCAGGTGGATTTCCTCCAACCTCCCCGTCCTGCGGGTCAGCTGCCCTTTCCTGCCCACTGCCTCATCCTGGGCTGGTGGCTGGCTGGCACGGGCTCTCCCAAAGCAACAGGCAAACAAATGGGTGGGGCCCCCACGCTATACAGAGCCCTGGTGGTGACAGCCAGGAAGAGGATGAGCAGATGAGCCCGGGGGTAGTGCGGCCAGAAGCAGGGAGCAGCCAATGGCAGGGGACAGGCTGGCTGCTGGGCCCCTTGAGGGCTCCCAGAACCCAGTCCCTGTGGAGGCCCCACTGTCCCAAACCACATCCTCTCCCCAAGCCCCCAGGCTCTCCTGGCCCCTCCTGCATGCGGTACCCTGTCCTTGTCTTGGCCTATGCCCTCACTCCTGGTGATAACAGCCGAAGCACAAGGACAGCCAGAGGTGCTTGCAGATGACCCTGTGCCCTGACCAAGACAGGAGGAAGCTGCCTGGGGGCGGGAGCCGAGCTGCTGGTCCCCCAGCTTCCCACATCCGCACTCTTGGGCAGAGGTGGGTGGGGCAGAGGTCTCCTGAATTCTGAGACCCTTTAATTTTTTAAGCCACACCCAATTCACTGGGGATTGAGTCCCTTCTGGGGACCAGACCAGCACCTGTGAAGCCCACACTGGCGCCCCCGGCAGCTGAGCACCAACAGCTCTGGGCTGTTCCAACAGCCTGATCCTATCTGTCCCTCCAGCTAACCCGGCCCTTTCAGCCTCTGCATGATCCAGATGCCACTCCTGAGACCCGTGGGGACCCACACTCACCAGGTCATACTCCTCGGGGTCTGCGGCCATGCCCCGCATCCCGTAGCGGTGGGCATCCTTGGATAAGCGGTTGGCAAACTCCTCGGCCGTCCCCGTCTGGGAGCCGTAGAACACGATGATGTTCCGCCCCTAGGAAGGCCAGATGCTGGTCAGTGAGGGCTCAGAGCCAGACCCCCCACGCTCCAGGCCACACGACCATGTGGACATCCTCCTTCCCCCCACGCTTCCAGTCCTGTCACTCTGGGAATGGACCCTACTGTCACGGCCACTGTGATGGAGGAGGGCAAAAGTCACCAGTTTAATATGCCAGAGCCATCTCAGTGATAACACACTGCACTGCTTTCTAATGCTGTAAAATGTTTAAAAAGCAACCAAAGAAGGTACCATGTATGTGTGTGCGTTCTCAGTACCTGCAGGGGTGGGTTCCAGGACCCCACCTGCCGAATACCCAAATCCACAGCTGCTCAAATCCCTTTCGCACAACAGCGGATTTGCACAGAACCTACGCACCTGCCCATCAACTTGAAATCACCTCTAGGTCACCTCAGCTACCATGAGGTGGATGCTACATAGCCCACACTGATCGTTTAGGGATAATAAAGCGTGTGCAGGTTCAGAATTCTTTTTCCAAATATTTTTGATCTATGGTTTATTGAAACCACAGCTGTGGGACCTGAAGACACAGAGGGCTGACCACAGTGACACAGCTGGGGCGTGGCTCCATGGCAGAGCACTGCCCAGTGTGTGGAGGGTGCTGGGTTCAGTCCCAAGCAGAAAAAGCCGGTGACATGAAGCACGAAACTTCAGTCACAGGATGTGAATGCAGACAGCTCGACCAGGGCCTCAACAGGGAAATATGGAAACAAACCCAAACTCATGGAATTCAGCGTAGGAAAAAGGTGGCATTTCAATTGGAGTGGGGCGGGGGAGAAGGACTCTGCCACCCAGTTACATGACAAAGCAGCCTGGGCCCACCCTCCTTGTCTCACACTGGACCAGTCCCCAGTGTCAAACTGAAAAACCACCACTACAGCCCTGGAAGCAGCAGAGCTCCCCTCTCCAGGGCAGGGAAGGCCTCTCACGTCACACAGAAGTCACCAAAAGCACAAAGGAGACTGTGTCACTTCAGCATGGCAGGCCAAACCCCCAACCTGCTCCCAACCCCGTCTCACAGGCCGGGTCATCTTCCTGACCCTGGTAAGAAGTTCCCAGAAAAGAGCCCATAGGAAAGATGGGTGAGACAGACATCTATTAAAAGAAAAGGAAAAAAGGCTGCGAGGGAGAGGGGGGGTACCACCGAATTAGAAGAAAAAAGCCTCATCATAAGAACAATGTCAGGGCTGGGGATGTGGCTCAAGTGGTAGTGCTCTCGCCTGGCAAGCATGCGGCCCGGGTTCGATCCTCAGCACCACATACCAACAAAGATGTGTGTCTGCCGAGAATTAAAAATAAATAAATATTTAAAAAAAAAAAAAAGAACAATGTCAGCCAGAGCGACACCGAGACCCGACATTTGCACAAGAGGAGGACCCACTTCTACACAAGAAGCACCAATCAGAAAAACAGAGCAGACCACCCCAGCGGGAGCAGGTGGCCTCAGGCTCTGGGTCCGGGAGGACACGCAGGCTGCACCTGGCACCTGCCCCGTTGGCCAGGCCCTCTGTGCAGGCAGGTGGCCCTCAGCCAGGCTCTCCATTGCCACGCCCCCCAGGGCCAGACTCGGACTCACCGTTTTCTTCATCTTCTCCACAAAGCTGCTCTCCTTGACGGATGTGGTCCTGAAACACAAAGTGCGAGAGTATGGGACGTGAGTAACATGGGACATGCATCTGTGCCCTCTGCTACTTTCCAGGGACCAGGCCAGCACATGGCCCTGGTCCAGCATTAGGGCTGGAGGAGGCAGGCCCAGGGACCCCACTATCCATCTACAGCCTCCTGTGACACCAATACCTTGTTCAAAACTCTGCCCCCAGATAGATGCGAACCTATTTCCCTAAAATGAAGAGACTTGTGTCCCTCTTCCTCCCCATCTCAGCCAAAGGTTCCCCTGGCCTTACCTCACCTCCAATTCCCGATCTTGCCTCACACAGCCACTGGAGTTTCTTAAATGCAATTCTGAACTCACCCCTGCCCTGCCTCACTCTAAAACCTTCAGTGGCTCCCAGGACCCACAGAACAGGGTACACAGCTTCACCCACTATGGCTCCACCAATTCTGCCCGATGTCCTGACTTGCATGCTCCACCCTCGTGACAGTCTGAGCTATTATCTCCACACTGCTGGCTCCACCTCCGTACCCAGCAGAACACTGGTCTACCTGTCAGGCCCTGCTCCTGGATCAGATCCCACTCGCACCCCTGGAGCTAGGGCTGAGTTTAACTGGACCCTTCTGTTCCTGACACTTCAAGGCCTGAGACTGCTCCAGCCGTCTCTCCACTCTCCACTCTCCACTCCTCAGTGTCTAGCCCCTTCCCCTTCCTCTCTCCATTTACTGTCCTTCTCTTCCCTCACTAAGTTGCTAAGCCCAGCTTTGAACTTGTGATCCTCTTGCCTCAGCCTCCAAAGCCCAGCTGCATCCATTAAAGACGACACCACGAAGGGCCCGAAAGGCAAGTTGGCCCAGAGAAGTGACTACAGGAGACGTGCATCTGACAAAGACAGGGACGGGGACGCCAGATGCCTTAAAGGTCAGCCAGGCCAAGACCCACGACTTCAATAGGTCCATTTTCCACACAGCAGAATACATGAGCGCGTGTTCAATGTCAGGCCAGGGGGTGAGGAAGAGTGCGGCGACTGCACACCCACTGATGGCAGCCAGGACCAAGCCGGCCCAGCCCCAGCAGGTGAGGCAGGCAGCATGTGGGAGCCCAGTCCTGCCAGCAGCAGGGACAGGGGCGAATACCCTGGGGTGCACTGCTACCAGGGATGTGAGCTCACCCTGCAGCCCAGCATCGCTCTTGGCGGACCCCTGTGCGGGGATGTCCATAGGGGCATGCGACGTTAGGAGACACCCTCAGGCCCACAGCAGAAGAATGAGCCATCCGTGGTAGAGCCACACGGTGGAAGGTTCTAGTCCTCTGTAGCACAGAGAACGAGAAGCTGCCATGACTCACCAACATGAACAAATCTCACGGACAAGATGTTGACCAAGGCCCGCTACACAGAGTCCCTAACGTGATTCCAAGATGTGAAGTTCAAAAACAGATAAACAAGGAGGGAGCCTTGGCACACGCATGTAATCCTAGTGCTCAGGAGGCTGAGGCAGGAGGATCAAGAGTTCAAAGCTAGCTTCAGCAACTTAACGAGGCCCTAAGCAACTCAGCAAGACCCCGTCTCTAACAAAATACAGAAAAGGGCTGGGGATGGGCTCAGGGGTTAAGTGCCCCTGGGTTCAATCCCTGGTACCAAAAAAAAAAAAAAAAAAAAAAAAACCCAGACCAACCAACTTATGTAGGGACATTAGATAGGATGGCTGTTGTGCTTAGGGGCGAGGCGATGATCACCATGGGTGGGCTGATTGGGTGGTGATGGCTACCACCCGTTCACATGACAGAACTGTCAATCTGCCACTTGGGAAGCAGACGCACCTTTCTGTAGCTGTACCTCACTAAACTGTATAGACGTGAGCTGCACACTCCTGTGTCATTTGCTCCCAACACCCTCACCCCACTACCAAGGCCCCCAGACAGGCAGGAGGTGACGGGCACGGAGGCGGCTCTGGGGTTTGACGTGCGCCTGGGTAAACTTGACCCAGAATCACTGTTCCTCGAACAGTGAGAGGGAGCAGTACATCCTACCTCCAGGGGTTTTTGCAAGGATCAGATAAGAAGCAGGACTTGGAGGATCCATCCAGCATGCTGGCAAGTGGCAGGCTCAGCCTCCCTGGTCACTACCACGCTAGACAAGGAGCTGCAGTCACAGGCTGGCCCGGCCACTTGCAGGACACTGTTGTCCAGAGGGAAGCCGCCAGGCCCTCGCAGAGCACAGCAACCACAGAGCATGTGCCGGGTGCCCATGGTCCCCACGGGCTCACAGGTCACCTAGTGGCTGGCTGCTTCTGTGCTCAGTGGCCACTGTGACCCCAATTTCTCCTTCAGACAAGCCAGCCCAACAGGCTGCACTTTCCACGAACAGGGGAGGCCAGGAATAGACAGGACAGGGTGGAAGAGAGGCGAGCTGGGCTGCCTGGGTGGCTGGGGATGGCAGTGGGACAGGGCTAGCCTGAGGGGGAGGGGATGGGTTGGGAGGTCTCCCTCTATCCCTGTGTCCCTTGTCGAGGCTCTCTAGGGCCATCCAGAGTGCCTCCCTGCACACGGTGGCCAGTCCACAGGGTGCAGATGCACCCTGCACAACCCTGGGTGAAATGTGAGCAGGGCTGTGAAGGCTTCCCCGGTGTCAGCCAGGCCCTGAACACACCTCCTCCCCAACGCTCACCGGCCCAGGGTAACATGTGCACCCACCCAGAGGGAAGCAAGAATGGTGCCCTGCTACACGGAAAAGCAGACTAGCGGGCAGCACTGAGGGGGCGGGGCCGGGCCAGGTGGCAGAGCTCTGGCCTGGCATGCACAGGCCCGGGTTCCACTCCAGCACTGCAGTAAATCCACTATGAGGAAAAGCAGCACAGTGACACCACTGAGCTCAGAAGTCCAGGGGAGCCACACCAAGGAGCTGAGGGTTCTCTCCTGGGCTGGGGGAGTCGCTTTTCATTGGTGGCATTAGGGATGGAACCCAGGGCCTCATACTGGCTAGGCAGGTGCTCTACCACCCTTTCTGTTTTGGGAGACACAGGCTCTCACTAGGTTGTCCAGGCTGGCCTCAGCTGGAGATCGTCCTGCACAGCAGGGAGGACAGTGGGGGCTATCTCTTCTGTGTTTGAGTTGAGGTCCTATCTGCAGCTCTCCTGTCCCTTTTCTCTTGTAAGAAATATGCAGCGCCTAAGAAGGTAGAAAAGACCACCGAGTGTGGGGATAGACTCATGGGTTGACTTGAAGGCCCTCATGGCCCTCGGGTGAGGGAAACTGGAACAGTGAGGCCCTGAGCAGAGGCAGCGTCAGGACGTTCTGGAAGGAGGCCGCCCACTCTGCAGTCTCCAGGAGGCCTGTCCCATTGCCTGCCTCTCCCGACTGGCTGCTGCCCAATCACCACTACCCATGTGAATGGACATGGCATGCTGCAGCCTGAGCTCCACCTGCCCTTCCTCTAATCCGTCGCCAATGCCTACTGTCCTCTCCAGGCCTCCCTGTCTCCCTGTCCCAACGGCATGGTTACTTGCCGCTGTCTTCCACACAGAGCTTTCCACCACAGCTTCTGACTGCTGCATCCAGGTTGGTGACTCTGGGGAGGTGTGGTGTGTCTTTCGCCAACGGACACAGCACCTGGAACCCAGCAGTGATGTTTTACAGCCTTTCTGATGGTCAGTCCTGAGTCCTCTGCCCAGCATCCAGGGGGCAGAGGTGGGCAAATGATAAGCCACCTCCCACATCCTCTCAGAGGGCAGATGTCCTCAGAGTCACATCTCTAACAAGGTGGACCTACAGCCTCATCGAGGAAAGGAGCCCTGCTACCCAGAGTCTCTGGTTCTCCCTCCTTAGATAGGTAGTGAGAGGCTGAGACTAGCGCGTGTCACCTCTGCCCAGGGCCATCCTCTGGCTCCAGGAGAGGGGCTCCTGGAGACTGGCAGCAGGAGGGAGGGCCACAAGTGGGGCGCTGAACTGCCTGTGATTGTGGTCCAGCCAAGAGCAGGCACGTCAGCAAGTCCGCCCGCGGAGGCCGCCCTCTGAACACGCACTTGGACTTGGTGCCCCTCCGCGCGCCTGGGATTCATTAACACCCAGGGAACACAGTGTCCTTGGGAGGCAGGCAGCCATCCACGTCAGTCTGTGATTTCAAAAGCAGTGGGCAGCACCAGGTAGCATGGCTGTGTGGTGGGTGGGATGGCTCGTGCCCCAGCTGTGAAGGAGCAGGTGCTCAAGGCCAGAGAAGGAGGAAAAGCCTCTGGGGACAGGTGGACCTATTCTCAGGGACAGAAAATGGCTCCCAGGACAGAAAGCCACGGACGGGGACCGACCATCCGCTGGCGGGAGCGCGGCTCAGCTCTGGTGGGCCTGGAGGAGGCCTAGGCGGCCTCCGTCACAGAAGAGCCAGGCTGCGCACTCTGGCTGGCCAGCGGTGGCTGCAGGCATCAGAGGGTGAACGAGGTGTGCGAACCCGCCCCGTCCAGAGTAAAGTGCTCCCAAGAAGCAGAGGCCAGCGCCTGTGCCCTCAGTGCTCCACCCTCTCCCCCCCCCAGACTGGCCTCCTGAGGTCCTGAGGCAGTGGTGCTAAAGTACAGGCAGTGGACGCTGTGCCAGGGCACCCCTGGGTCCCCGCTGGTGAGCCAGTCCTGCCTGAGGAGCAGCTCCAGGACTCCCTGCCCACTCCAAGACCTACTCGGGGGCTCAGAGAAGCAGCCACCTGCGGAGGCCGAGGGCCACACCCCGGGCTGCTCCCACTTGGCTCCTCACCAGTCCCAGGTGAGGGGAGGTGAACAGCTTCCTGCCAGGTCCCCACTGCACGACCACAGGAACTGCAGGGCCTGGGCCAGCCACCCCTAGACTCTGGGAAGACAGCAGCCGGATTCCCGAAGCCGCCGGCCCACTCTCCAGAGCCTCTGCCTCCAGGGGTCCCTTCCCGGAACCACGTTTCCTCACTCGGATGGAAGGATGCCAGGTGCCCCCTGCTAAGGGGCGCCCATGCAGCCTGCACTGGAGCCGGAACTGACCTTCTCAGGGTGGGCTCGTCTGGCGGAGATGAGTACATGCACCCCATGGCTTCTGGTTCTCAATTCCAGCACTTAAGGAAAAGGGAAGGTCCCAGCTCTCTGCTGGAAACTGGCAGGAAGCCAGCAGGCAGGAAGTTCGGCTGTGTCCATTATCAGTGTGGTGGGGCAGGCTGCCTGCTCCGGGGCCTCTGCAAGTGCCGCTGGACCCTTGGAATCTTCCGGCACCCCTGTCGGCCTCCGTCCCCAGGAGCCCGGGAATTGCAACATCTGGCAGTTCCAGCAGGGAGGGGTCAGGACTGGAGACCAAAGGCTCCCGTGATCCCCTGCGGCTGGGGCGACCCCCCTTCTGTATGGACCAAGGGAAGGAGAGAACCTTTCCAACCCCGACTGAGTCTCCTTGGTAACTGTTTATATCACAGCCCTTCTCCCTGCACCCTCCCCCTTCCCACTTACAAAAAAAAAAAAAAAAAAAAGGAAGTCCTGTCTGCTAACAAAGCTCCAGCCTCCAGCCAGCCAGGCCTGCAGGTTGCTATGGCAGGGCTGCTGCTCCTGAAGAAGCTGCCCCAGCCCTGCCAGGGCGTCTCGGGCCCCATTACATGAGCTCTGGATCCACCTTCCACCAAGAGAGAGCCATGGAGCCTGAGACACTAGGTATGTGCCACCTGGGAGTGTCCCGTGTGCTGGAGGACCAATACCTTACCATGTGCAGAGGGGCCTGCAGGGAGGCATCCATCTGTCTTACGGAGGCCCCTCCCCAGGTACCTAGCACAGACAGCTGGAGAGGCAGCAGCTGGGCAAGGCCCGAGCCCAGACACCACGTGGCTCCAGAACAGAGCACGCAAGGTTCCAATTAGGCTTTTCCACCCCTAAATTGGGAGCAGAAGGCTCTGGTTCAGGCCTCAGCAGTTAGCTGCAGTCCACCCAGCGGGCAAGAGGAGGAAACACGGGGTCACCCGGATGAAAGAAGACACCGGGTGTGCCCATCTCAGGCCTCATGGAGCCTCACTCTGAAGACTGCAATTCAAATTTAATTTTCTGCCTGGCAGGACTGATTCCTTCTGGGCCTCCCCTCCTGGGCAGCCCGTGGAGACTGCGCCCCTGCACAGCCTGGTGCCTGGCAACCAAGCTCCGCAGGGTAAGAGACACCCAAAGTGCAAGAGGAAGGATGAGAGAGAGGCCAGGAACACGATGGCAGCAGAGATGGGTGGCCAGCCTCGGCGAACCACAGAAGATAGTCCAGGAAGGTCCCAGGCCTCCACCACAGGGACCAGCAGAGCTCCAAGGGACTCTGGGGAGGCAGACCCCAGGAAAGACCCGCCTTTGGTGAGGGCAGACAAGGCAGCTTTCCGAGGACACGGGCCTCTGCATCAGGAGGGCGCTGGCCTTGGCAGGTGAAAGGTCACAGCCGTGTGGGAGATCTCAGGTCAAAGACAGAGGGACCTGGAGCCACTCCACAGCACCTGGTACAGGCTGGCGTCCAAGGACCTCCCTGTTTCACTTCATCCTTATCACCCCAGGTAGCAGGAGGGCTTCTGTCCCCAAGTGACTCAGCCCCAGGCCTGGGAACATCCACAGCCACTGTGGCCAGCACCAGGCTGGGTCAGCTTCTGCAAACCCCCACCAGCTGGGCCCCAGCACTGCTGCCAGGGTCCAGGGGCCCTGGGCATGTTCCAAGAGCACATCTCATGTCCTTCCTGGGTCCCTAGGCCTTGTCATTCAGGGTGCTCCTGGGCCTCTGCCGCGTCCCTTCAGCATGCATTGATAAGCACACAGACGAGAACGAGACTCACGGCCCAAGAAACCGGCCACTAGCCCAGGTAGCCTGGTCTGCTGCACAGCAGTCCCCAGACACTCCAGAGACCTGAGGCCCATTTGGCAGGTGTCAGATACAAGGGAAGGGAAGCCAGACATGGTGGTACACACCTGTAATCCCGGCGGCTAGGCAAGACCCTATCTCTAAATAAAATATAAAAAGGGCTGGGGGTGAGGCTCAGTGGCTAAGGGCCCCTGGGCTCAATCCCTGGTACCAAAACAAAAGCAGGGGAGGAAGGTGGGAGAGGCCAAGACTGAGGAGCAGGACACAGGGGAGGGGTGCCTGGGGCCAGCGCCTGCTCCAAGGCTGCTGACCCGACTCCCTCAGGACTTGTCCTGGATTCCTGCCGGTCCTGCCCTTCCCCTGCTGCCTCCTGTCTCCCAGCCTTCTTCTGGGAGCCCCTCATCCTGACAGCCCAGCGGGTGTACCCTGAGACCCCACTGACCCAAGCTGTTAGAGCACTTGTCACTCTGCACCACCAACTGCATGTGGCCCTGAGAACACTCCGCCTCAGTCCCTGTGCCGTGTGCTTGGCACACAGAGACAGGACCACCAGCAGCACCAAGTACCCTGAGGACACCCAGGAGGTCAGGAGGGCACCTCTGCTTGCTCTGCTTGCTGTTTCCAGACAGGCGTGTCTGCAAGTTCAGCCACCGCAGGAGTGCCCCCAGCTCATCAGGAACCAGGAAAGGCCGGGAATGCTCCCTCAGGTGGCAGCAGAAGAGCCAGATGTGCCTTTCCAGCTTCTTCCCCAGGGGTAGAGGTCCAGGCTCCCCGGAGCGTGTCTCTGTGTGGATCTCACCCACGTCCCTTTCCATGTGCCGAGGCGCAACGACCTCTACAGAAGACTGACCCTGAGCTGCCCTGGCAAGACCTCCAGCTCCCTCTCCACCTGCCAGGTTCAAAGACAACAGCAGACACACACAATCCTGCACCCTTGATTCCCGGCTCTCCTGGGCTCTCTGTCAAGAGCAAGCCCTAAGATAAATGTCACTCAGAGAGATGAGGTCTTCTATGGCTTTTCAAACGACCCCCAGTGGGATGCCATGTGCAAAACCCAGACTGTGGGAAACTATGAAATAACTGAGATGTGAGGAAGGGGGCCCGTAAGGCTGCGGAGACCTGCCACAGTGTTAGGAAAAGCTGCCACACAGGCTGAAGCTACAGAGTGCTGCGAACGTGACATTCTGGAAGAGGCTCAAGTACAGGAACTTAGGAAGGAGATCAATGGTTGTCAGAGGCTGGGTGGGGACTGACTGCCAGAGGACTCTGGGGAAGCCTTGGGGGGATGAGTACCCTCAGGTCAGACTGTACCTTATAAGGGGGGATTTTACCAGCTACAGATTAGAGCTTAGGACACCCAACCCCCCAGACAGAGAGACACTTACAGGACTCCCTAATCAGCTGCAGTCCATAGGTCTGGATTAGATTCTGAATTAAAAAAAAAAAAAAAAAAAAAACTATCAGAAAGCCAAACCCAAACAATAATCGGCCAGGAGGCCACTGGGGATCAGATGATGGGAGAGATTACTGTGACCTTTAGGTGTGAGAGGACAGACCACACTGTTTAAAAGGGAGTCCTTGAATTTTAGAGGAAAATATTTTCAGATAAAATATGATTTCTAGGGATTGCTTTAAACTAATCTGGGGGTGGGGTGTGCAAGACAGGCCTGGGGAGCTGTAAGACTGGGTGATGGGGTCACATGGGCTTGTTCTCCTGGGTTCCGTATCTGGGTATTTTTGGGAAATATTCCAAAATAAAAAGCATTATTTCTCTTTAAAGCACCCTCTGGTGCCAGGGGAGGGCACAGAGGTGGGGGCCCTGCAGAGGATCTCAGGGCCAGGGCCACAGAGAGGGTCCCAGCAGCTGGGCTGGCTAGGGACAGGCACAGGTGACCCCAGAGCGCAGGCCCTTCTAGACAGGGCCGCACTGGGCCCAGGTGGCCAGGTCTTCTGATGATTTTTCCCTCTGGTTTTTATGTGTCAGACTTTGTAATGTTCTAATTAAAAATTAATAAACAATACTGGGTAACCAAACCCAGCCAGCAGGCCAGGCTTGCCCTGGAGGCAGACTTACGCACAGGTTTAGCATCCTGAATTCTACAGCCGTTCCCTGGGTAGCTCCACTTTAGCAGGCGGCCCTGTGCTAGGCCGGGGACCCAGACAGGAAGTGGATGTCACTCTGAACAAATGCCCATCTTCTAAGAGGGGCGCTCCAGCAGGGCAGGCTCAGGGTGGGCGTGGGGCTGCTATGGGAACCAACACCCCTGCTTGTCCTTAGGTTCCCTCCAGAGGAGCCAGCTGAGCCCTGTGGCTGGGCAGGGAGCAGGTATGAGAGCCAGGACTGTTACAGGACCTGTGGTCCCGGCTGGTCCTCTTTTACAAGCCTTTATCTGCTACTATAAACAGTTCAGAGTGAGCTGGGGGCGGGATCAACCTGGACTCGTGAAAGAGACACTGACTGCCAAGAATTAGTTGATACCTTCAATCTGATCCTGGCTAAATCCCAGCAGTTTTTTAATTTGATTTTGGTCGACATTGACAAATTGATTCTAAAATTTATGCAGCAATAGCGGGGGGAGCCAATAGGGTAGGATGCAGGAAGACTTGCCTAGCAGAGCTCAAGATAAGACACTGAACAAATCACAGAAAACAGCAGGTGTGGGGCTGGTAGAGGACAGCCCGCAGATCAGAGGAACACTGTGGAGTCCAGAACCAACCGGTCCACAGCCACCTGCTTTGTGTGGAGGGTGACGCTGACACCTAGTGGGGAGAGAAGGGCCATGCCCCCATCCTGTACTGGGACAGTACACAGAGCCACACCCCTCTAGGTACACAGCTCTCAGCTGGATGGCACAAGTGAGTGTAAAAGCTGGGGCCCAGCACTTGCCTAGTGTTGAGACCAGGGTCTTATCCCCAGCCCTGCAAAAGCAAAAGCAAAAAAAAAAAAAAAGAAAGAAAAAACTAACATAACTAATCTTCTTCTAAAATAAAACACAAAGAACATTTCATGGCTTCTACATAAGACTCCTCCTCTTCTTGCAGTACTGGGATCAAACAGGGCTGCACACAGGCTGGACTCCCTCTACCCCAGCCCTGTAAGATTTTTTACACTCCATACATAAGCATTAACCATAAGGTTAAGGGACCACCAAAAGGCTGACAAATTAATTTCAGCAGCTTTTTTAAAAAGTTCTGTGGACTTTGGTGGGCACTCATAAGCTGACTCTAAAACTCACACTGAAAGTCAAGGGAAAAAGAATAAGAACCTGTGATCACCAAAGGCTGCGAAGAGACTAATAGGGCAAGAAGCGTGGGGAGAAGACACCTCAGTGCACGCATCTGGTAAAGAATGTGCACCTAGAACATGGGGAACTCGGTGCTGGAGCACTTCCTGGCACCCACAAGGCCCTGGATTCCATCCCCAGCACCAAAAAGAAGAAAAAAGTGAGGAACTCTGACAACTCGACAAGAAGGCCAAGAACCCAACAGAAAAACGGTCAAGACTCCGGAACCAAACCTGCACCAAAGGAGAGTCCAAACGGTGACAAACTCAGGGGGACACCACAAATGCAAAGTAACACTGGTTACCTCCTCGGGCCCCTGAGATTGGCTAATTAATGCTAATAGAAGGGTGAGTGAGGATGTGGTACACGGAGCTCCACGTGGCGGCCGAGGCCAGGGAGTTGGACAGCCACGCTGGACAGGAGCCACAGGGAGGACCGTCTGAGAGCTCCAGGTGGGGACACACCTAGCAGAAACTCCAATGTGTGGGAACCCAACGTGCCCTGTGTGCGCAGCTGCACAGGGTGGATGGCAGTGGCTGGCGGGGCTTCTGAGGTGCCAGGGGAGCCGCTCTTGGCCTGGATGCTGGAGACAGGAGCCTGGGCCTGCCACCTATAGCTCTCCCAGACTTTCTGTTTTCTTCATTTGATGTCACTGTTTCTCTGCCAACAGCCCTCGTCCTTCTTCTCTGCTCTTTAGAAGGTGTCTCTCCTTGACCTGGGTTTGGCTCCATCCCTGGCCCAGTTAGTCACTCTCTCCCAGAGCTGAGATCTTCCCATTCTTCCCAAACCTGCCCAGCCTGCCCTTCCAGCTCCAGCAGCCCACCGGCACCCACACCCCTGTCCTTTCCCCCCGGGGACCCTCTCCTGGGCCTTAATGCCTCTCATGCGACCACTTCCTGGAATGGCTCCTGACCTGCCTCCCTGCGGCATGAGCGGGCCACTATGCTGGTCACTGAAACCACACAGGTCATTCTGCTGTTCTATGGAACTCTGTCCTCACCCTAGGAGTGGCCCAGCCCTCTGCAGTCAGCTCCACCTGTCCCTCCAACTGCCCTTCTCCCACTTCCCAGCCCCTGCCATCCTGACCATGAACCCCTCCAGATGAGCCACCCCGAGCCTCCCAACTGTGCCTAGGATACACTGTAGGTGCCCAAACCCTACTCCCTATCCAAGGCTCAGCTCCCACATTGCCGCTTCTCCAGAGCCTTCCCCGTCCACAGTCAAAATCCATCTCCAGGGCTTGGGACATAGCTTAGCTGGTAGAGCGCTTGCCTCGAATGCACAAGGCCTTGGGTTCAACCCCCAGCACCACAAAAAAACAAAACAGAAAAACCCATCCCCACCGCCTGGGTCACCTGACCCTGCACTTCTGATCCCAGCATACTCCAGATGATCTTCTCATGGAACTGCCCTCCCACAACACTGGAAGGCAGGGACCATCCTGTCACAAGGCTCTGACACAAAGGATGTAAATGTCTGTCTGACCAGATGAGTCCCAGGTTCCTCACCCTCTCTCTTGACCAGAGGCAGGGGAGTGACGCCATTGGCGCTCCACTCAGCTGCTCAGCTGCACAGGATGACTCAGGGCAGGACCTCTGCCCATGAGGAGTGTCAAGGGCAAAGGCTACTCTCCCAGCCCACTGAGGGCAAACCCCAAGTGGCCTCCTGATGTGGTGCTGGCCTGGGACAGGAGAGCACGTGCTCCTGGCTCCAGGATGCTGCTCCTGAGGTTCACAGGTGGACCTTCCTCAGCCACAGTGGTCAGTGGCAACAGAGAGGGCATCTGGGCTCCTAAGGTTCCAAAGGCCACATCTAGGCAGGTGGGGAGGGCCAAGGAGGCCAGCACACTGGGGAGAGTCACCGGAGACCCAGAGGCTCCACCTGAATCCCTAGAGTCTAGGGCTCAATGTGGCAACAGGGGAGATGAGAGACATGTCCTCTGCCTCGATGTCCTCAAAAGTGCTTGCTGCTGAGACTCCACCTTTGTTTGGTTTTTAAATATCCAAATCTAAAGGTCTCACATGGTCACACAGAGCCTCCCAGGTGTCAAAGGAATTAAAAAAACCTTTTCAGAAGCACCAGAAATCCCAGGGAGAATTCCTGACACAGGCCAGGGCCACACACATGCCCCACACGAAGCCCCATCAGTCCCCATGCTGGGCTGGGGCAAAAGTGTCTGTGGCTCAAGGAAGTGCGAGTAGCCAGGGACACTGATGCTAGTTATGTAGGAGGCCCAGGGCGTCGGCCAAGTGACCTCCTGATCTCAGTGTTCTCGTCTCTGAACTAGGCGGATGAAGGGTAGCTTCAGAGACCGAAGGTGGCATAGCACAGAAGTAGGGAAGGGGCAGTGGGGTTTGCAGATCTTGGTTCAAAGGCCAAATCTGCTCCTTCCAAGTTACGTGCCCTAGGGGAAACTCCTCCATCACTAACACCTCGTTTCCTCATTTGTAAAATGGGGTGTTGATGTGTTCCGTGAACGCTCTCGTAAAGTTGGGGGTGATACTAATAGGGATGAAAACTGAGAGTGCACCACAGGCCAGGAACCAGGCCAAGGGCTCGAGAAGGCACTTGCCCACTTGATTTTCATAACCCTAAGGCACATGACCCCAGTTTACAGCATGCGAGGACACAGACTGAGAAAGACCAAGTCACCTGGGCAAGGTCACATGGCTACCATGATACAGTCTGGATTTGAACCTTAGTGGCCCACCATTAGGGCCCAGAACTTGACCTGGGACCATAAATGACTCCCTGGGGCCACACACATGTGTGGCCCTGGCCGGGGCAGGTCCCCGACACAAGGAGGAATGAGAACCTGCAGGACAGCACAGGGCAAGAATCTCACCAGAGCAGGGAAACACAGAGTCAGCATCCAACAGAGAGAAGCAATCACATACCAAGAGCGCCCAGGGAGGTGATATTGGGGACCGAGTCAGGCAGCCCCATCCTTAGAACGCAGCAGCATGTCTCTCCAACTATGGACAATGGAATGAGAGCCAGGTGGGAAGCTGGGGCCTGGACACTGGTCCCCCTGTCCCAAGGACACCCACACTTTCTCACCACAAACACTGTCTCTGTCCCACATCAGGACTGCATCCTGACCCAACCCCAGCTGGAGAGGCTGGATTCCAGCCCATCTGCCCTTTATGCCTCCGACCTCTGCTGACAGTGTCCTCACAGTCTCTGGGTGCCACGCCACCATCCTGCAGGATGTGATCCTTATCCCTTACCCAGAAGGGATTCCTTTCTTCTAGGCCCTCCCAGAATCTGGTCTCTAGGCCTGGGTCTGCCAGCTCCCCAGATACCCAGCCCTGGGCACGTCAGGAGCAGGGTTACAGGCTGCACTCAGTGGTGAGGAAACGGAGGCTGGATAGGGTGAGCGTCTTGCCCAGAGTTTGCTCAGCAGGACAGCATAAGTTTGACAGGACAGGACTGGCCTACTTCATTTCATGGCTGCAGCCACGAACCTCATGAGGGTCTGGGACACCGTGGGCAGGGCCTCAGTAGATACTGATCTGCTTAGTGAATCACTGAGGAAGGGAAGACCGTTTTACAAACGTAAAGCAAACGCCCCATCAGTGGCAGCAGAGTTGATCTACAGACACATCTGCAGTGGTCCATGCCTAACTTGTCTGGGCAGGAAGCCTGCACCCCGGAATGGGGTGCAGCGTAGCGCATTGGCAGAGCACGTGCCCAGCCTGCATGGGGTCCTGGGTCCCACCCCAGCACCATCAAAAGAAAACAGCTACTGCCTGAATTGAAAGAGGGACCTAGCCCTGGATGGGCCCGCACACCTCACCCTGCCCCCACACACCTCACCCTGCCCACACACACACCCGCCCGCACACCTCATCCTGCCCACCCTGGGCAGGTCAGCCGAGGGACCTTGAGATGCTGCACTGAGACCTGCCCCTTGCCAAACCCGGGGACCCAGGCAAGGCTGTGTCCCTGGGTGTGCTCAGCATAGACCTGGCCTGTCAGCTCCCCACTCAAACCCAGCTCAGGCCTCAGAGTCTGGGACTGGGTTCAACACAGCCAGGGGGACATGCAAGACGATGCTGCAGCGCCCGGAAGTCAGGGCTGCTCCAGTGTGGCCTGCGGAAAGCAGCCCTGGAGGCCGGTGCAGGCAGCACTCCCCGCACCACCCTGCTCATGTCTACACACTGTCCTATCATCTCCTTACTATTTTTCTTCAACTAATTCATTTTTTACTTATTCTGGAAAAGTTGTTTTGTTGAGGGTTAAAAAACAAAACAAAACAATAAAATATAAACAAAACCACGTTTGTCAAGTTGGCTTGACACTGTCACTCCCCGGGCTCTAGGCTTAAGCCTGCCTCCATCATTAAAAAGGGAAATCTGTCGGAGCAAGCGGTGTGGGCCTAGGGCCCCAAATACTCAGGAGGAGGCTGAGCCAGCCTGGGCCCCAAGTGCAGGGTGATGCTTTAGAGGTTGAGAGGCGCTGGAGAATGCCAGGAAGCAGGAGTGACAAAGGGGACGCTGAGTGGCGTCACTTACGTTGTTGAAATTTTGTGGAACTCAGGGACTTCTTCCTTTTTCTTTCTGAAGAGGAACCAGTAGGTAAGCAGACCCACGATGAGAGAAAACAGAATCATGTCCGTCACACTGAAGAGAGACACTTCTGCGGCCACGGCCTCAGGCGCAGCGGTGACGGTGTCAGCTGAGTCCCCCATGTTGATCACAAAACTGTCAAGAGAGAGAAAAGGTGACATCAGCAGGGAGGAGCAGGTGCGCCTAGGGCCCCCAAGTGCCCACCTGGCTGCCGTGGCCTGGGCCTTGGCCTGGACTCACGCCCATGGCACAGGGGGCTGCTCAGCGAGGCTCCACGAAGGCTGCAGCATGGACTCTCTGCCTGAGTTCAGGCTAAGGCTGGGACTGCAACTGGGCCCGCTGCACACAGGACAGAAGCCACAGACTCCCGGAGCCACCAGCATCCTCTAACCGCACAAGGACACAGCCCTGAGGCTGGTTTCACCCGAAAGAAAAAGTGGCCACTTCATGGTAATGCCTCTCCAGCTGCTGAGCGCCCCAAACTCCGCATGCAGGCCTTCACCACTGGCCCTTGAAGGACTTCTGGGAAATAACCGAGGCCCAGAACCTCCTGCCTGTTGACAGCATCTCTGAGTGCCCAGGACCCTGGCCTTACACTCAGTTCACGCTGGCCCCCGGCCCTGCTCGCCTGGAGACTTAAAGTCACTGCATCAGTCTGACTCTTAAGTGCTGGACACTTCTAAGCTTCCGGGTGTGGGTCCTACGTGTTCACAGGACTGACTCCCAGCAACACCCTGGGCTCCTAGGCTCTGGGAGCAGCCCTGGTTGGCAATGCAGACAACTCTGTCCTAAGAAGACCATTTTGAACTGAGAGGACTGGTGAGTCAGAGGTGTGTCTGGTACACCTCACCTGCCTCGCCCCTCAGACAGGCGGGACACCTGCATCACTAACACAAGCCTACTTTACTCCAGTAGCTCATGTGATTTATTTTGAATTCTGTGCTGAACGTGAGAAAGGGAATGCTGCATGAGTACACCTTCACCCCTCGTGAACTTGGGCCCACAGCCCATCCAACATGCTGTCACACACTGCACCAGGAGAACCAAGTGCTGTCCCCTGTGACCCCACTGGGAGAAGCCAACTGGAAACCCAGGCCTGCCTTCTCCTGACACCGCCCTCAGTGTCCTTCCTTGGTGACTTTAGTCTCAACCTTCTGCTGTAATAAACCTCAATCCTGAGCAGAGGGCTTCTGAGTTCTGCGAGTCCTGGTGAGTTGGATGACCTCAGCTGAATCTGAGGTGGTCTCGGGGACCCTCAACTCACCAACCTAGCTCCGGACAGATGCACAGACAGTTGGCAGGTAGCTGGATCTGAAGGAGTCAACCCAGGCCAGCATGAGAGGTCCTACCTCTTGGCAGCCGCGTCTGTCCCTTCCAGTTAGGGGTCGCAGCTCTGGAATCTGTGTCTTTCCATTCTGCCATCGTCCATGGCCACGTGGCTGCTTCACCACAACTCAATCTGAAATGCCTGGGCCGTACCTCAGCAGCGCAGGCGACGGAGCTGGCTTCCACCCTCACGCCACAGCAGCCCTGGCCTGCAGGAAACCACAGGCGGCCGAGCCCCGAGAGCACGGAGGGTTCTGGGCATGGGCTCTGCCCTCCTCGCCTGTTGGGAACTAGCCCCCGGCCCAGAGGTCCTTGCCTCTCATCAACAGAGGTGCCTGCCCGGCTGCAGTCCATTCCAACGTACCCTTTTGCTTTCTGTGCAGTGCTGGGGATGGAACCCAGGGCCTCATGCATGCTGGGCAAGCGCTCAATCAGCCTTATCCTTGGTGATGTCTGACGTACAGGGACAAATTTAACTTAGAGCATCCCCAGAGCATCCTGTTTATATCTCAGCATCATAAACAGCTGATACTTACTCAGTGCTAGTCGAGTCTGTCTAGCAGCCCTGTCTGTGGCCCACGAGCCTTCTGTCAAACTTTAAAAAGCCAGACTGAGAGGCCTCAGGACCAAACGATCAGGAAGCACCAGACATTCAGAGCCTGACCGGAGGCTGGCACAAGAAAGCCCCCAGCTGGCATCCCCAAAGGGCAGCAGCAAGTAAGGGCCAGCTCCCTCCGTGCTGCCGCTGCCTTCCAACTCCTCCGTGGCCCAGAACACTTATTTTTCAAGAGCGGAGACAAGCACCCTCAGAGCCAACCCACTGTCTCCCCACAGGAGCACACTGACTGCAGGACCCAGAGAGAAAGCGCAGTCTGCGGGCGGTCTCTAAGTTGAGGAGGTGCTGGGGAGCAAGGATGACGGCACACCTACACCCCCATAATTACCCAGGCCACTCACCACACAGCAGCCAGAGGGATCCTTCAAAGAGGAAGTCAGAAAGACAGGCCCTGTGGCACACACCTGTCATCCCAGAGACTCAGGAGGCTGAGGCAGGAAGATCACAAGTTTGAGGCCAGCCTCAACATCTTAGTGAGACCCTGTTTCAAAATGAAACAACAAGAGGTAGACCACCCCAGCATTCAATCCCTAGTACAACTGATTAATTCATATGAATTAATTACACCGTCTCACCGACAGGCAACTTCAAAGGGCTTCTCATCATGCCTAGTAAAAATCGAAATTCCTGCTGCCTATAATCCCAGAAACTCAGGAGGCTAAGGCAGGAGGATAGCAACTTCAAGACCAGCCTCAATCACTTAGCGAGACCCTGTCTCAAAATAAAAAATATAAAGAATTGGGGATGTGGCTAAATGTAAGCGCCCTGAGTTAATTTAGGAAAAAAAGAAATCTAACTCGTTCCGTGGCTATAAAGCCCATCTGCGCTCACCTTTAGGCCACTCCCACCCCCCCACACTCCCCCTTCCTCAAAAGCCAACTGCCCCTTCCACCTCAGGGCCTCTGGTAAGTGGAAGTAGCCCAAACCCTTCCTCTCGCTGTCCGCAGGGTCTGCTCTGACACCCTTCAGGCCTCTGTTTGGGCGGCCACCTCAGAGATAATGCCTGCCTACAGCCTTTGAAACAGCCCTCAGGACCCCCACCCTGTCCACCACTGTGCATTCCCAGCCTGGCTATCTCCTGACTGGGGCATCAGGTCCACAGAGGCAGGGACTTTGCTGTGTTTGCAGAATGGCATTCAGTGAGTACCCAAGGTCGACTTGTTGAGCAAATGACTCCCAAACAAAGGCTAGGGTCCCTCCAACACTTGTGCTCTGCAGCTGCCCCTTGAGCCCAGAGTTGGGAGCACAGATTCTCACCCTACTAAGGAAATTGTGAGCAACCCAGGGGAGAGTGACAGGCACTGCCCACTGTCCACAGACTGACTCCCTGCAGCTGCCAGGGCTGGAGCTGGGGTCCCAAGGCCCCCGCCAGTGCTGCTCAGAGTCTCCAGGGAATACAGAACATTCCCAGCAGCCGTGGCCCAGAACAACTCTGCACAGATCAGAGCCACAGGAGGTGGCAAGGTCCTGGAGACAGATGGGGAATGGGAGGCTCCCAGGGGGTCAGCGCTTCCCTAAGCTGCAAACTAGGAGCCCCAGCTTCCAGCAGAGAGCTGTGTCCACTGCCGTTCAACCCAGGCGATGTGTCTGGATACTGTCTCTCCTTGCCGTAAGAGCTTCCTGAAGGAAGAGGAGCATCTCGCATCCTTCCTGGCACAGGGAAGGCAGGAGGCACTGGCAGGCTGGCAGGAAGGCAAGCAAGCTAGAGGAGTGTCCTCAACCCCGTACCTATCACTAAGCACACATGCGGCCATGTGCCAGGGAGCCGAGGCCACGAACACACTCTCAGGTCAGGTCACGCATGCCACATTCTCCCACTAAAGCACCAACGCCCCCAGCACCCTGGCCTCGCGCTGACTATGACTCATTCTGCAGAGCACGGCTGCACTGGCCGTCCCCAGCACCCGTTCTTCCTGCACAGAACCTGCGGCTCGGGAAGTGCCAAATGAAGGGAACAAGGAACACATTAGGACACACAGAACAGGGATCCCCATGAACCAGGAACGTGAGACATGGAGGTGTAGGAGCCACGCTAGGCTCTACCGTGCCCACCTGCAGGACTCCCTTGGTCATGAGCTGCAGGTATTAGCAGTTTCCATGGCAACCCCTAAGCCAAGGGAAGTGGGTGGCAGTGAGGTCCACACCACTACTGAAGAGCCGGCCAGACGTTCAGTCATGACAAGGATGACAGCATGATCCTGCGCTGACCCACAGCCCCACCCAGCTGCTACTGCATGGGGAGGCCCACAGGGCAGACCCACTGCACTGGAAAACTGGATACCTCCAAGTTTGCTCTGGTGCCCAGGGGGCGCCAGTTTGAGAACCACCTCCATGGTGTGAAATTTTTTATTTTTATTTTTTATTTTTTGCAGTGCTGGGGATTGAATGCAGGACCTCATAGAATTAGACAAGTGCTTTACCACTAAGCCACATCCCCACTCCCCCAGTATGAAATGTTTTGATAGAAGACTGATGACTGACTTCCAAGGGTAATCACGAGAGAGTCAGTCTGAGGTCCCCAGAGGAGCTCCAAGGAGACTCGGAGCCCTGCCTGTGCCATCCTCTGCCCTGATATGGTCTTTGGTCTGACTTGCTGCTTTCCACCCTCAACAGAAAGGAAAACAGGGCTCCCGGCCTAACACGGCCCTGTCAGCAACAGCAAAAACAGAAAGAAAGGTAAAAATAAGGTTAGAGTAACTTCCTGACTGGACCGGACTCTAGCCACAGCACTGCCACCAGCTGCTGGACCTGGACAAATCCCTTCCCTACAGCAGGTCCCATGTTCTTATCTGTGAATCTGGGCACAGAAAAAGGCCTAAGGCAAAGATCAGTCAGGCAGGCCTCCCCCACCCAGAACACTGACATCTGGTGTGATCTTGTAAGTTGGCACTCCACCCAAAAGTTTGCATTTTATCAAAAAACAACAAGCAGACAGAGAAGGGCAAGAACTATACAGCTGTCCTTTGGTATTCAAGGGGAATGGCTTCCAGGATCCCCTGTGGGATCCTCTAGATGCTCCAGTCTCTTATATAAAATGGTGTAGTATTTGCCTTCTCACATCCTCCTTTAAAGTGTACTTTAAAGTCATTTCAGAATGTTTGTAATACCTGTATAGCTGCTATACAAATGTACAAGATAAATGCTACACACAGTCATTACTTACACTATGTATTTTGTCTGAACTGTTTTTGTCAAATTGTTACTTTTTCCCTGAACACTTCTCATCTGTAGGAGGCTGAATCGTGGTCTCAGACCCTGGGGGCATTGCACATGCGCACTTGACCACTCTTCCTCCAATCTCGAAAGCTGGCCAGTTTGCACCAACCTAGCAAAGGGCAGCAACTTAGTCAAGTACACTGTAGAGCATGGTGGCCAGAAAAATCACTGACCGCTCCAGCAAGGGAAACTGGCAGGAGCTTTTCCAGTTTCTGAAAGGACCCACGTGGCCAGAGCGGGAGGGAGCAGAGGTCCCCTCCGGGAGCACCAGCCGGCACCAACTCAGGATGAGTCAGTCACCAAGCAAATCAGTGAGGGAGGAAAGGGGGAAGGAAGGAGAAAGCAAGCTACCGAGTGGCCCAGCTGAGGTCCTGGTGGACTCCCAGCTGCCTGGCCTCCACCTCCCCGCTGCAGGGGAACAGGGCTGTCCAGGCTCACAGACTTCTGCCAGGGTTTTAAGCTGCAAGACTCAGAAACCCTCCAGGAAACGAACCCCGCAGATGCCCAGTAGCTCCACCTCCAGAGAGCAACGCCAGGGGAAGACCCTTCCCAGGCAGACCAAAAGGGTGCACAGGGTCCCCCTAGGGCGCGACTGTCTCTACGTTTATCACCCAAACTGAGAGGCTGAGTTGGGGGTCCATGAAGCTTCCTGATTCTCAGTTTCCACCCTGCCAAATCAGGGGACCTTCTCAGCCGGCCCTCTCTCTCCTCTCCTCGGGGACGGTGGCATGAAGGTTGGACATCTTGTCCCTGGTCCCACAAGACCTGAACTCTCTCCCGGCTTCCCACCCACTCTGGTTTGTCCCTGTGGTGCCGACTGAGTACTTTCTTCTGCCAGATCTTAGAGTTCCCAAGATGCCAACCCTTCCCTGTCTTCCCCGTCCTGCCAGGGTGCCTTTCAGAGAGTTCCATCTTGCCTGTCATGTTCCTCAGTCCCAGCGTCTGTTTGATTCTTCATGCTGCCTGTGGCCTCTTGATGCGGGCATCCCTCAAGTGGAGGTTTTCCTGTTTCGTGGCACAGTGGGTGATTTTAAAAAATTGTATCCTGGACGTTTTGAACATGGTGGACGGTGGACCTTAATTCCTTTAGCAGGCCTCTGGTGCCCTGCTGGTGGCCAAGGAGGGCGGCAACTCGCTGCTGTCAGATGGAACTTCAGTGTCCCTTGGGGCCTCAGCTGACAGGTCCTGGCCTGGAGGGTTACTGCCCGCACCTGGCTTCTGCTGGCCCCTCGAGGTGGGTACCCTGCTGGATGGCGGCCAAGGGCTGGCTTCCACCACATTCCTGTGACAGCTCTCCTAAAGATAGCAAGCGTCACCATTCCTTGGCTCTTAAAGACTCTAAAGACACTGCCAGTACTGCTCGGTTCTCTAAGAATCACACCGAGGTGGCATGACTAAGGAATCCATGTTAACAGCTGCAAGCAAAACACTGTCAAAGGAGTGGTGAAAACACTAGTTCAGCACAACTGGGGTGGACTATGATGTTTCCTAACTGATGGTAAAAAGATGTGTGGGGTAGAAAAGGCTGTGGGACAAGCCCATGGAAACTAAGGCCTATGTTTACCCACTACCCACTGGTCCATAGGGCTGTGCAGAAAGCACTTGAATCTGTTAGCTACTGAGCCAAAAGCGCCAACAGTCCATCTCCTTTACTCTCACGGTCAGTTCCATGAATTTCTTTCAGAAATGGAGGCTGAATATCCAACTTGTCCTACCATAGGCAGCCATGTAGTGTGCCACCACACCAGAGAAGCCAATTCTTGTTCAAAAAAGTTCAGTATAGATCTAGAATAGTTATACCAGACTTTACCATGATCACACACATCTGTAATCCCAGGGACTTGGGAGGCTGAGGCAGGAGGATCACAAGTTGGAAGTCAGCCTCAGCAACTTGGTAAGACCCTGTCTCGAAATAAAAAATAATAAGGCCTGGGAATGCAGCTCAATGGTATTGTCCCTGGATTCAATCTCCTGTACCAAAAATACATAGGAATTGTCTTCAATCACTGTTACTGAACAAGAATGGTTTAGGGAATGGGTTTTTGCTAG